TATGTTAAAATTATGTTTTTTTATATAATTATATAGTAAAATATTGTTAATTCATGGCTTATGAGGTCAATTATCTGATAAAATACAAATGTAGCATAGCGTTGTCATGGTAACGCTATGTTACGATTCAAATTTCATATAAATTGGTAGTAAAAACTGTCAAAATGTTATGTATTTTCTGTGTAATCAGGCATTTTACACATAAAACCTAACCTACAAAAGATACAAATATCAAATAACGTTATCATAAGTGCAACTTTCTGATAACAAATACGTAAAGTTAGGTTAAATGTGTAAAGCGCATGATCGTACAGCAAATACATAGTTTGTTGACAGTTTTTACAAACTACTCATACGAAGATAGACCCGTATTATAGTGATGTCATAACATTTATATTTTATTGGAGATAAAATTTCTAAAGTTTCACACATAAAACCTCCAGAGGTCCTAACCGCAAACGTCTAAGTATTACCATTCACGCATGTGTTATCAAAGTGCCATTTGGAGGTTAGGTTTTATGTGTGAAACGCCCGATGTACATCTAAGACACAACTTTCAGAAACTTATGGTAAAAATTTTGAATAAAAAAACAGAAACCATAATTGAAATCTGCAGAAAACACTATACGTATAACTAGCCCTGTTGGTTCTTAATACGGATTTAAGCTGGTCCTTAATATGGATATTTTGACATTTTTTTTACTCCCAGAGTCTCAAATGCTTCTATAATGATGAAAAAATATTCTCTGAAAGTTTTAGCTTCTAATATTAACTTTAAGATAGTCCGCAATTCGATCAAATACTCTTATGTAAATAACATGGGTAAAATTCTATTTGTTTTTTGGAATTTTATAACTTTGCGACAAGTGAATCAAAATTTTGAGATCAAGATTGTATTTGCTTATTTTGATCATGAATAAAAAAAATTACAACAAAAATTTGATATGTTATAAAATGAGTATTTTCTTAGAAAGAAAAACCGGGAAACTTGAATTGAATCGCGGACTATCTACAAGTTAGTATTAAGAATTAAAACTTTCATAGAATATTATTTTATCAATTTGGAACCATTTGAGACCCTGGGAGCAAAAAAAAATCCAAAATATTCTTATTAAGGACCAACTTAAATCCATATTAAGTACCAACAGAACTAGTTATACATATAAAGTTTTCTGAAGGTTTCAAGGACGCTATTTCTTGATTCAAAATTTTTACTTTGTGTCTTAGCTGTGCATCAGGCGTTTCACACATAAAACCTAACCTCCAAAAGGCACAAACGTAAGAATATTAACTTTAGTTAAGTTTCACATATAAGTAATCAAAGTGATATCAGAAAGTTACTTATGTTGAGGCTATTTTGTAATATTTGTTTGGTTTTGGAGGTTATGTTTTATGTGTGAAATGCCTGACTTTTTCCCTAATCATTACGTGAAACACTTCCCACAGGCCTATAATATTTTACTAGCTGAAAATCCCAGACGAGTAAACTTGAAGTTTACCTCATCAATACAAATCTTATTTATCATGCATTTTATACTATATACTATATACAACGATTTATAAATATATGACAAAATTATGAAAGTATCAAATTTATTTATTATTAGCATATTCAATACCTGAATTATGTTCCATTATTATCATCTATTGATCGATTACTTCGATATATATTTATATTTATTATTAATTAATTAATAGTTGACTATTACAATGGTATACGGATAAGATTTTAATTTTCTAACTTCGTTTACACACTTTGTGCGTTATTACTTAAAAGAAATATTTATCAGTTTATATATACATTAAGTAATTTTCTAAATTATTGTAAATAACAAAATCAGTCGTTATAAAAAAATTATCTAAGTGCTTTTCGATGATTATATGTCTCAGTGTTATATTGAACAAGATAATGGACACGAGAATTAATTTTAATCGAGTCAGAAAAATGTATACTTAGAAAACTCGGACACACTATAATATTCGAAACTCTACAATATATATATATATATATATATATATATATATATATCACACTATAATATATATATAATCAAACGATTGAGAGACTACACGACAAAAAATACTGAGTAAATTTGAATATATAACCCTTTCCCTACTAGCGACCTGTGTGTATGAGTGTCGCATATAGACGACATTTAATGTATCGAATATTTTATTTTGATTCAAGTATAATGACTTATTAAACTAAGATATTTTTTACCTAATAGTATCAAACGATTCAGAGACTACACGACAAAAAGAAACTGATGAAGAAATTTGGATATAGAACTCTTTTCCGACTAGCGTCGCCTATGGACGACCTGTGTGCTTGAGTGTCGCCCATAGTGGACATCCAGTGTGTTGAATATTTTATTTTGATTCAAGTATAATGATTTATTAAACTAGTATATTTTTAGACTAATTGTATTAAACGATTCAGTGACTACACGACCAAAAAAAACTGATGAGTAAATTTCGATATATAACCCGTTCGTTACGAGCGTCGCCTATAGGCGACACCCCCTTGACATACGGTGTGTCGTCTATAGTCGACGACCGGTGTGTCGCCTATAGTCGAATTTTAGATTAGAGTATAAGTAGTATTTTCCTAAAATATTTATGGTGCAATGGTGTCAAACGATTCAGAATGGTTTTAGAACATTAATAAAGCATTTAACAAAATTAACAACAAATCGAATTTTCAAGCAAAAAAATGATATAAATTGGAAGGTCGCTTTTAAAACGCAGCCAATTTTTTAAATCTTTAATGAAATTTTATAATGAACCACATCTCATAGGCCTCTAATATTTATAACAATTCATTCCTCGTGTGTCAATAGTAATATAAATATTTTGTAATAGTATGTTTCTAATATAGTAATATTGTATGGTAATATAGTAATATAAAATTTATATACCCGAAACGTAAAAATAATTATAAATGAAAAACTTGAATATTATTTTAATTAAAAGCGACATCCTCTTGACAACCCGTGTGTCGCCTATAGTCGACATCGAGTGTGTCGCATATAGTCGACATCGAGTGTGCCACCTATAGTCGACATCCAGTCGACATCGAATTTTTATTTTGATTAAAGTATGATTTATTCAACTAGAATATTCTTGAAGTAATAGTGTCAAACGTTTCAGAATGATTTCAGAACATCAATGAAACATTTACCAAAATTAACAACAAATCGAATTTTCAAGCAAAAAAATGATATAAATTGGAAGGTCGCTTTTAAAACGCAGCCAATTTTTTAAATCTTTAATGAAATTTTATAATGAACCACATCTCATAGGCCTCTAATATTTATAACAATTCATTCCTCGTGTGTCAATAGTAATATAAATATTTTGTAATAGTATGTTTCTAATATAGTAATATTGTATGGTAATATAGTAATATAAAATTTATATACCCGAAACGTAAAAATAATTATAAATGAAAAACTTGAATATTATTTTAATTAAAAGCGACATCCTCTTGACAACCCGTGTGTCGCCTATAGTCGACATCGAGTGTGTCGCATATAGTCGACATCGAGTGTGCCACCTATAGTCGACATCCAGTCGACATCGAATTTTTATTTTGATTAAAGTATGATTTATTCAACTAGAATATTCTTGAAGTAATAGTGTCAAACGTTTCAGAATGATTTCAGAACATCAATGAAACATTTACCAAAATTAACAACAAATCGAATTTTCAAGCAAAAAAATGATATAAATTAGAAGGTCGCTTTTAAAACGCAGCCAATTTTTTAAATCTTTAATGAAATTTTATAATGAACCACATCTCATAGGCCTCTAATATTTATAACAATTCATTCCTCGTGTGTCAATAGTAATATAAATATTTAGTAACAGTGTGTTTGTAATATAGTAATATAGTATGGTAATATAGAAATATAAATATCTATATACCCGAAACGTAAAAATAATTATAAATGAAAAACTTGAATGTTATTTTAATTAAAAGCGACATCCTCTTGACAACCCGTGTGTCACCTATAGTCGACATACAATGTGTCCGCTTATAGTCTATATCCATTATGCCGCCTATAGTCGACATCCAGTGTGTCACCTATAGTCGACATCGAATTTTTTATTTTGACTGGGGTATGATTTATGTAACTAGAATACTTTTGCAGTAATAGTGCCAAACGATTCAGAATGACTTCAGAATGTTAATGAAACATTCGTTTAACAAAAAATCGTATTTTCTGGTTAAAATATAAAATTTTCATCTAAATTAGAAGTCACTTTTAGAGATTTTTGTAACCTTTAATGAAATTTTATAATAAACCACAACTCATAGGCCTCTAATATTTTCAACAATTCATTCCTTGTGTATCAATAGTAATGTAAATATTTTGTAGGTAAAAAAATAAATTTTGTGGTTAGTTAGAGAGAAGTGCAAGGGTTAAAATATTGAAAAAAAAAGATATAAATTAAGAGTCGCTTTTAGAGCGCAACCAATTTTTTAAATCTTTAATGAAATTTTATAATAATCCACATCTCACAGGCCTTTAATATTTTCATCAATTCATTTCTCCTTTAACACTAGTAATATAAACAATTTGGAGGTAAAAAAGTAAATTTTGTTGTTACTTGCATACAAGCACAAGGGTTGAAACATTTTAATAAATAATTGAATTTTATTTTTTGAAATAATATAGTTGAATGATGCATAATTTGTTGCATTTGAAACTTATGCAATTTAATTGAATATTTGAAGCAATGAGCATTTTGGGAGTGTATAGAAACTTTCCATAAGCCAAAGAATGTAAAAAAAAATTGGAACAAATAGTAATGTAAATATTTTGTAGGTAAAAAAATAAATTTTATGGTTTCTTACACAGAAGGGTTGAAATATTTTAATTGATAATTGAATTTTATTTTTTGTAATGATGCAGTTGCATAATAAAAAATTTGTTGTGGTTGATACTTATACATTATTATTAAATATTTACAACCATTTTTGAACTTTTGAGAAACCAAAGAATGTGAAAAAAACGTTTGATGTATTTTTTTTTTCTGAAGTATACATTTTGTGACTCAACAAACAACCTAATTAATTTTCTGTCCATGTCCAAATAATTTATCCAATATAACCTTTTCGACTCGATTATGCCAAACAAAACTTGCCAAAAACTTCAAACAACTATTACCTAACTTTATACAAAAAGTGTCCACATTAACCACTTTACTCAAACATAGTACGAATAAAAAAGTACCTTCATTATACATCCTCCCTCGATCCACCATCTCATTACGATGGTCCTCCTTCCCATTCGATCAAATACTGCACCTTACCATCCGAGTTGATCCTCCTGCCCTGCACTGCAAACTTTTCACCATTCAGAATCCTATTCATGGCACCGAAGTAAACATTCACCGAGCTCTTCAGATCGGTCATGCAGACATCGGAGACTTTGCCCCCGGGGGCCGATTGTCCTATCTGACTGATCTGACTGATTTGTGTCGAGAGACGTCCGTTGGTGGAATTTCTTCGGCCTGTTTCGGCGTAGGTGATGTCTTGGCGCTGTCGGAGTCTCCGGCCGTTCAGGGCGTAGTCTACGCAGTTCGAGATGGGAGTGCTGCTTGTTTGGGGCACATTGAGGCTGCTTCGGAGAGATCTTTGGGTTGTTTCAGTCGAGTGAAGCGGCGTGAAGAGGGCTGTCTTGGAGGCTGTTGTTGAGTTTGACATCTGGGGGGAGGGAGAAATAAAAAATATTTAGAGGTTTTGTAGATGTTTAGTTTTTAAGAAGCTTATTTTAGGGGAAATAAAAATGTTACGTTGCGGATGTACTGTTGTAGGAGTTGGTAGACACGAGTTGTCAAAAAGCAATGTATTTGCTGTGCGATCAGGCTTTCCGCACATAAAATCTAAATTTTAAAAATAAACTAGTGGTGCATGGCATTGTGCCTTAAACCAAGTTGCTGGAACTTCCCGTAACAAGAACTAAATTTAAAAACTAGTGGGACGCATGGCATCGTGCCTTAAGGCAAATTGCTGAAACTTCCCGTACCAAAAATATTTTTTTTTTTAAAGATTAACATTTTTGAAAAAAAAATTACTATGACAAAATTAGATTTTTGAGAAACTATAAATTTTTGACAAAAATTTACTTGTTTTGAAAAAAAAAGACTTTTTCAAGAAAAATTTATTTTGAAATATTTTGGAAAGTTTGAACTATTTTTAAAGCAATCGCTATGTATAGAGACGTACTTGCCGTCTAACTGATAAACATTAGTACGGAACCCATAGGAATGTAAACAAAATTTATACTTATTGTTAAAATCTCTATAAAATATCTGATAATTTGATGTGCATATGTCCAATAAACATTTTTGACCGCCAAATGACATTTTTAATTATTTTTATTGAGAGTCCACAACCGCTGGACCTGCCTTCCCAAAAATTTAATCAGTTCTTCATCTTGTCAATATAAGTAAAATGTTTTTTGAATTATTAAAATCGGACGCTCTGTTCTCTTTAAAACTGAGTTACCATTTTTGGCACGTTTTGCCCCTTATCTTTGAAACGGCTAGACCTGCCTAGGTCAAAAGCAAATCAGCACGTCTCCTTATCAATACCAATCGAATGTTTTTTGAATTATTCAAATCGGTTGATCCGTGTTTGCGAAATCGTAGACGAAAATTCGTATCCGCACACACACACACACATACATCTATTTTTTCTACGGTATGCCAGAACGTTCAGAAACATTTAAAACGTAAAGATATATAAAAATTTTCATTATTTCTGTGCGTATGTGTGTCACACACACTCACATCTATTTTTTCTAAGGCATACCAAAACCTTCAGAAACCTTTGAAACGTAAAGATATAAAAAAAATTTCAAAATCAAATTCAAATTTCACTCATCATATCACAAATTTTGACTAGCACATTTTTTTATCCATTATATATTAATATAAAAAAATTCATCAAAAAAAAAATTTCAACAGTTAATTCATAAAAAACGTCTCGGCCGATTTTTGTCCAAACTTTTTAATAGTTTTTGAATTTTTAAAATCTGGACAAATTTTTTTCACTTTTCTCTCAATTACTAAGAAGCGGCTCGGCCGATCGTCGCATAAAACTGAAAAACGATCAGTTTTTGAGAAAATGTCGATGAAAAGTGTAATTTAAAAAAACGGTGCACATTTGATGAATTTTTAAAATTAAACGATTTGCCGTAGGGTAGTAATATTTTAGTACCATGTACTAAAGTATTACTACCCTACACACATGGGGGGTCTACATACTTTAGTAGACCATGATATTTATCGCCAAAAAAAGTTTCAAAAAAATCTCTGATTTTTTTTTTCAAGTTAATTACACTAAGTTATACCAGCAAATCTTTACCAAAAAAACTAGTATTTTTTGAACGACTTTCGAATTTTTAAAATTGATTCAGGATTTTGAACTAAAAAACGTATATAAAAAGTATTACACTTTTTGGCAAATTACAAAGAAACGGCTTGGCAAATCGTCGCACAAAACTGACAAACGATAGTCCATATTGAGATACATCAAATGGCTTTTAAATTTCTGAAATCGGTTCAGGCGTTTTTGAGAAAACGTCGACGAAAGGTCTAATTTTGACGAATTCCAAATTTTTGCAAACCTTGACGAATTTTTCAAATTAAACGACATGTCGTAGGACCGTAATATTTTAGTATGATCTAGAAGACTATGGTATCTACCATCAAAACTTTATTACAAGAAAACGTCTCGGCCGATCTCTATCAAAAACTAATCAGCACGATTCCCAATCAATATTTTTCGAACGGTTTTTGAATTTTCATAATCGATTCAGAATTATGGGCTAAAACGTGGACGAAAAATTTTCGCACTTTTCTGCGATTTACAAAGAAACGGATTTGGCTGATCGTCGCTCAAAATTGATAAACGCTGGTCCTTATAGAGATACATCGAACGGCTTTTAAATTTTTGAAATCGCCCTAGCCGTTTTTGAGAAAACGGCAAAAAATGTGTTCACACACACACACACACATACTTTTTCCAAATTTGGTCTAATTCAATTCAGAATGGCTTGAAACGTCGAGAAAACATAAAATTAGCGTATCGGATTTGATGAAAACAAACTTCTCCTTCGGGAAGTTAAAAAAAATTGTATAAATTACTTGTCCTATACCTCTAATATTTTTTCTTTTCCGGGCAAATTATCACAAACTCCTCTTTTGGGAAATTAAAAAATGAAAAAAAAATCTATAATAGTTATTTCTAAAAACTTATATTTCCTCTTACCTCTGGCAGTGAATTTCGCCCCCGCGACTTCCTAAACTTTTTCCTCTTCACCTCTCCATTTTCCCCAATCAATAAATCCTTCTCACTCAGTTTCCTTTTCAGCGTCCTAGCAGCAGGCCTGGTATCAAACAAGTTGGCCACCACACTGTTTTTCCTCTTCTTCGCACTCAATTTATTCTTTCCCTTCAACAGATCAGGATTTGTACTTTTAGGCGGCGAATGGAACGGATTGTTCTTCCCTCTGAAATTCTTGGGTGGCGGGATAATGGAATCTAAGGTGCATCTGGACGAAGTCTCATCTGATGAATCACATCGGTCGTGTCTAATTGATTTTAGGCTGTCGAACATGGATTTCAGATGGACCACACTATCCGTGTCCATCGGTTCTAACCTGGAGTCTTTGGAGTTTTCATTGACATAATAGTTGGTGTCGTTTGAATTGGAACCTGTTGCTGGTGGTGTAGGAGGTGCTGATACTGACGTAGGTGGTGTCGGTGGACACACAGCTTTTGCTTTATCTTCTCGTACAGACTTTCTTAAATTCTTACGCCTTCTACTACCCGTTAACTTCGATTCAGAAGTCTCTATCTTTAATATCAATTTCAACTCATCCTTTTTATCACTTTCAATTATCCTAGCTTCAGGAATTTTGATGTCCTCGCTGACATCGGTGTCTGCTGACATCAATTCTTGTCTGTCGTTCTCTTTTTTGAACATGTCTTCATTGTCATCGAGGGAACATATTGAATCGGAGTCCGAGTTTTTGGCAATTTTTTGGCGATATGCGTTGCCTTTCATTATGGAGATCATGTTGGAGTCTAAGGGAACTACTATGTTCTCACGACGTTTCATTGCTATGCTATTCGAGGTGAATGTATTCGAGTTGATTGATTGGAGTGTCATGTTGGTGGATTTGTTCACAGGAGTACGACTGTAAAAGAAAGAATTAGGTGTAAGTGACATAATAGCTTAAGGTTAATTGCATAGACTTTTCTATGATGTGTTAATAAATAAAAATTGAGATTTAACAACTTGAACATTCAAACCTACGGCAAAAACTATATATATATATATATATATATATATATATATAAATATTCTTTTACATTTAAATAATTCAGTAAAGTGAAGCAAAATACAACATGCATAAGTTTAAAAAATAATGTATATGCAACTTTGGACGTATTGCGTTATTTATTAAACTAAATTATATAATTTCATCTGCCAAACATATACTGCATCTTATATTATTTTAATTTCTGGCACATCTCAGCTGATTTTCGGCAATAGAATTGTAGATATTACATTATTCTTATTCATATACATGAATATGGATTTTATTTACTAATATTGTCTTGACTCGCTTAAACTAATTTCAAGTTTCAATTGAATCGACATTTTTGGCAGATGACAGTTCTCAAGTATTAAAATGTTTTCAATGTCAAACAATAATGTTATTTTTTGCAATTTTTTCTATTTATTTCTACTATATTTTTATAATCACATACATCCTAAAGAAATTCCTTAACAAACTTCAGAAAGATTTATCAAAATCCAAATAATCGTTTAGGAGGAGTATCAATTCATACATTACAGAAGAATTTTATATATAAGATTACATCGTATATATCAAATTTTTCTGTAATGATGTATGTAAATATACTCCTCCTAAACTATTATTCGGATTTTAATAAATCTTTCAAAAATTTGTTAAGGGAATCTTTTGGGATGTATGTGATTATAGAAATATAGTAATATTGTAGAAATAAATGAAAAAAATTGCATAAAACAGCATATCATTGTTTGACATTGAAAATATTTGAGGCATTGTTTGGCATTGCAAACAAATGAAAACTGTCATATACCAAAAACTTCAATTTACTTATGAGACTAGACAATATTAGAATATGAATAATGAATTTATGATTATGATTAAGAAAAATGAAATGTGTACATTATTATTGATAAAAAGCAGCTGAGATGTTAAATTAATGATATAAGATACGCTGCTGAGATGAAATTAAAATAATATAAGATACAGTATATGTATGGCAGATTGAATGATACACATATGAACAGAATTCGACTAATTAATTCACTTAAAATATGAAATTAAGTAATAATCAGAGCCGGTCCAACCTTGAATAACCTTAGAAGGCGCGCCAATACAAGATTCGGATATGAAATTTTCAATATCGTTGTTTTTTTTAATATAATTCAAGAAATATACATTTCTTTGCATCTTCTACTAATCTTTGCACAATATTTTTAAAGTATTGTTAAAAATTTCACATTAAAATAACAAATGGGAAAGTAAAGATAAATACATACAATTCGTTCCTTACAATATCAATTAGGAGAAGTTTAGGATGCGTTTCGGATATCTTAAATGATAAAAAATTAACAAAAAATAACGTTATAGTTGAGGAATTCATGTAGCTTTTTTCTGCAACTAAATAATTTTGTATCTAAAAAATTCCTCTTTATATTTATTTTGAATTTTAAGTTTGATGCATTAAGTAACTCTTAAATAAATTTATCAAATATAATAAAATGTCAAATATCAAAAATACAAATATATTTTTGTACAAATTATAACTGAAACGGAGTTATTGTACAAAATGCAACAATAAAAAAAATCTAAAAAATGCCATAAATTGAATTTGAAACAAAAACAAGAAAAATAAGATAATAAATAATGATAAAATAGTAAGAGTTTATAAATTAAGTCACTTTTCTCAGGTCTATAATACTTTAGAATATTCGTTTCGAACATAAATTATCACTGCGCAAAAGTGCACCAAAATTGTAAACAAATTCAATTTCCTTTGTAAATTAATTTAGCATTGATATCTTTGAAACAAAGTCCAAAATTCAAATTACAAAACAAACGGCTCGGTCGATCGTCACACAAAAAACTGAAAAACGACAGTATTTTGGCTTTTAAATTTTTGAAATCGGTCCAGGTATTCTTGAGAAAACGTCGATTTAAGGTAAAAAATCTGTTCACGATAACATTCTAGATCCTCCCCCCATGAAGTAATGCTTAACGGCGGTTTCCGTAGGGACAAGAGGTTAGAGATATGCGGTGGTTTTAGTCGGTATTATACCCAGGCGGTATTGAGTCCGACATACGCAGACAAAAGACCTAGTCTGAAATGCATAAATTCATTCACTTCGTTGTACAAAAAAACAAACACGCACACACACACATAGATACATACATTTCCATTAAATTTGGTCTCATTCGATTCAGAACGACTTGAAACGTCGAAAAAACAAAATGAGCAAACCTGATTTTCTGGCAAAAACATAAACTTTATCTTTCGGTATGTTAAAAATAAAATTACATAAGTACTAAAATACCAAATATCTATTACTATTATTATTCAACTTACTCAAGAAACTGCATCCGTTTATTCCCCTTCAAAGCCTCTCGCAGATTTGCATCGGTCACAACCCCCGAGAAATTAAGACTTATACAAGGAGCTGGTGGAGGCACCCTTTCTCGTAAGCCCCAAATTGTTACCTTCTTCTTGTTCTCTCTTCCGCATTTGAATCGATTCTTATTATTCGATAAAGCATACAAAATCTGTTCGCGCATTTCTGCTAGTGGAATATCTTTCATCTAGGTAAAAGATAAGTAATAAAAATTTGATTTTGAAGATACAGTAGAACTCCAATTATCCGAATTAATGGGGACCGGGGCCGATTCGGATAATCAAATATTCGGATAATCGGAGTTTTTTTTAAAAAATTGCCATTGGAAAGAAAAAAAGTTACGTTTTGATATTGCACTATTTTTTTTTATTGAATTAAATGAAAGAAACATGATATTTTCACATGTTTTAAATATAAATAAAATGTACTTATGTACAAGTTTAGAAATAAAAATCATTGTTTTTTAAACATCTCCGCCAAATCAAAACAAACAATGTGCCTTTTTTTTTTCTGAAAGTGATTCGGATAATCGGCGATTCGGATAGTCGGAGTTCGGATAATTGGAGTTCTACTGTAATTTGGAGTATGTGTGTATGTATTATTATTACCTGTGGTGTCAATTGCAGGGCATGCCAATTATCATGAGCGTAAGGTAAAATAACGTTATCTAAATCAAAGTATTTTATATTATTGTATGAGGTTAAATTGAATAATAGTAGATGGACTATGTCGACCCATTTTGTTTCCAGACGTCTCACAAATTCGTTTCCGAAATTACAAGAGGAGCACACGAAGATGTAAAACCTGAAATAAAATAAATAAAATATTATATAGGTAATTGGCTTGTAATAGGTGTAAATATAATGTACAGCAACAATTTTTCTACGACGAAATCAAAATAGCAAAGATTAAAATAATAAATAATAATAAATTATCAGCGGGCAGCGTATTTTTACGCTTTTTAATGCTAGTAACTTCAAAATCGGTTAACATATAAAATTAATAGAGTTTGCTTGTATTTTTTCTTAAAATTAAATTGATTTAGTTGTTTGTCGTTTATTTTAGTATTATAGTCTTATATATATATATATATATATATATATATATAAATAAGTCGGGTTTTCCTTCCTGACGAAATAACTCCGGAACGCACAAACCGATTTCGACAATTTTGCATTCGTTGGAAAGGTCTCGGGCTCCGCAAGGTTTATAGCTAAGAAAATTAGGTGTGCATGGCATCGTGCCTTAATGCAAGCTGCTGGAACTTCACGCACCGTAATTAAAAATTCGAGTAATGACATTAGTGAGAATTATCAGAATTATGCTTGGTCAAGTCAACGAGCAATTCTTGCCGCAAAGAATAATGATGTACACGCCCTGAATTTCACCATTAAATAAAAAATTCCCGGCGATTTGGTGACATACCAATGATTCCGACTGGTCTTCCGTTTGACTTCAAACGATTGCAATTTCCAGTTCGCCTTGCGTTCGCAATAACAAGTCGCAAGGCCAATCGCTTAGTGTTTGCGGGTTAAATTTCAAATAGATTATTTAGAAAATCATTGTTTTCACATGGGCAGTTATACGTTGCCTTTTCACGAGTTGGAAAACTATCCGCTTTGTTTGTGTTAACGTCAGACCAAAAAACAAAAAAATGTGGTTTACCAAAGAGCACTTCAATGAAACGAATAATTTGCGGATTCACTTTCATTCACTTAGAGAAGTTCAACTAAAAATCACTTCATTTTTGTAATCGAAATAAATTCATTACTGTTGTGTAATAAAATCAAATTTTTCCTTTTCAAATATAAAACAAACAAAAAATTTCTTCATCTTTCTCACTAAACCATCTGGTGGCGAAACGGAGTTCGTCGGGTTTGCTAGTATTTTTATAATTAGCAATATGTAAAGTTAAAATATTTCTTCTGTTTGTTCCGAACATTTTATTTGTATACTTTAATATAAGCTAGATTACATTGTAAAAGTTAGGAAAAATTATTGTATACACCTATATAATAAACTTAAATATCTTGTAGGAACATTTTCTTGGTAATAGACGAGTGTTTAGCAATGTGTGAATTTTGGACATTTTCTAACATTTTTTTGAATATCTTGGAAATGTTTCTCCGGCCTCTATGTTGTAAAAACTAGATAAATTTTACTAAAATCTGGTATAACCTATTAGTTACATTTGCATATTAAAATTCTAAATAAATCTTAGTTGAAATGCAGACTTTAGTATTTCTATAACTTGCAATATATAGATTTAGGACATTTTTTTAGTTTTCTTCAAATAACTTTTAATTTTCATTTCGGACATTATAATTTGCTTGCATTAGTAAAAACTAGATAAAATTTCCCAAATTCAGTCAAAAATGTTTAATGCACTTTGATATTGAAATTTTGAATAATTCTTAGTTGAAATGCGGACTTTAGTATTTCTATAACTTGCAATATGTGGATTTAGGACATTTTTAACTTCCCGTAGGGTAAGTTATTGTAATGGGCCGAAAATCGGAATTGAAATTTTTACATTTCTCGACGTTTTGAAAGTTTCTGAACATTTTGGCTCAGAACCTCAGAAAAAATGGATGTGTATGTGTGTATGTATGTATGGATACAAATTTCCAGTCACGTTTTCGGGCGCACGGATCAACCGATTTGAATGGTTAAAAAAATATTCGATTCCTATTGATAGGGAAAAGAGCTGATTAGTTTTTGGCAAAGGCAGGTCCAGCCGTTTCGGAGATACGGAGCAAAGAGTGCAGAAAATAGAAATCGACTTGAGAAGGAGTATAGAATAGAAAACGACGAGAGAACGGAGTATCCGATTTGAATGATCTTAGAAACATTCAATTAGTAATGATTGGGAGAAGTATTTATTAGCTTTTGGCAAAAGCAGGCCCAGCCATTTCGACGATACGGAGCTAAATATGTAAAAAATGGCAGTTTTTGAGAGAACTAAGCGTCCGATTTAGATGATTCAAAGAACTTTCTGCTTGTCTTAACAAAATAATTAATTTTGAGAAAAAAAATTTTGTTCCAACTTTTTTTTTTTTTAATTTTTTGTATGTCGAAAATAATTCAGATTTTATTTTTAATTCTGACTATAGTTCTAATTATAACTTTACAAATAATTTCAGCTTTTTCAGTTTATATAATTCTTATAAATATTAGACAATGTTACAATATTTATAATAATCTATTTGAAAACATTCAGTATTCCTCAAACATTTCGTTACGGTACGAGAAGTTCCAGCAATTTGCCTTAAGGCACGATGCCATAATTGCCTCAAGACAGAATTCCACTTACAGCTAGTTTTATTTTTCTTCAAATAACATTTAATTTTCATTCCGGACATTATAATTTGCTTACATTAACAAAAACTAGATAAAATTTACTAAAATCTAGTAGAAACTGTTTCATACACTTTGATATTGAAATTTTGAATAATTTGTAGTTGAAATGTGGACTTTAGTATTTCCATAACTTGCAAAACATTTTAGTTTTCATCAAAAAAAATTTAATTTTCATTCCGGACGTTATAATTAGCTTGCATCAGTAAAAACTAGAAAAAATTTACTAAAATCTAGTCAAAAATGTTTTATGTACTTGGATATTTAAATTTTGAATAAATTCGTAGTTGAATGTTAGCGTTTTATTCCCAATTTGCCCACTATACATATCAGTTTTTATTAGGGGCCTATAGTGTGTTAATTATTACTCGCCTGTCACCACAATAAAGTGGATACTGCAGACACCCGATACACCTTTCGTGGAACCACTGTCGACACCTGATGCACTGCAACATCTGATTGTTCCACTCTCCGTTGCCTCCACAATAACAGTAAGTCTGTTGGGCATTCTTCCGATGATATGCATCCCATGTTAGACTCTCCAGCTAAAAATAGAAAAAAATACTTAGAATATAATCACTTAAACAGTACAACCATTTAGTTATTTTATCTTCAGTTTTATCTTAGACTTACATCATATGGTAATTGATTCTCCACAACCGGTGCAGGAATTACACTAGCCGAGTTGACAATTTCAGCTGTAGTACTTGTGCTATTCCTTCTAATTTCCCTCCGCATATTTCTATTTTCCATTTTTCTTATATAATGCGTCTGGTCTACACATCTACAATAGAACCAAAAATAAATTTATCAACTTCCCTTAGGGTAAGTTATATAGTGCAGTAAACGGAGACGAAAAAAGGGCATAACCTCTGAATTTTTTTACTGTGCTCCGAATTGAATGAAATTTTGGAATTAGGTTCACCTTATACTCAAGTTCAAAAGTGAAAACAATTCGGGTTGCGCCCTCACCCCCCGGGGGGATGACACCCCTTCTCAAATGTGTAATTACATTTTTTCAAAATAACGTCGGAAATCGATAAAAAAACTAATTATAAGAAAAAATGTCTTTTATAGTTTTTCAAAAAAACTAATACTTTTCAAGTTACTGGCCACTAAAGATTCATATATTTTCGGCGTTTTTCTTTGTTTTTTTGCAAATATTTCTTAAACTATACATTTTAACGAAAATCATGTAATGAACAAAATAATGTCAATAAAAATCTTAATAAATCGGCATTACATAAAGTGTTCTAGGAAAAATATTAAGCAAGATTTGAAAGAGCAGAGTCGTTTTTTTATTTCGTTCAAGATTTAATTGTTGTATTTAAAGCCATCTAGTGTCGAGGTTTTACATTTTATGCATTTCGGTGAAATTGGGTTTTATAGTGCTCAACATAAGCTTTAAAATGAGTGCTGTTACAAGTTTTTACGTGTAAAATGATGGAGCTATCATGCAAATAAGAAGTTTTTTTCTTTTAAATCATATGGTTTAATGAGCGCCATTTCCATCAGAATTGAAGTAATTCACATTCCATCTCACTTTATTATAGGCATCTTGAAGGATTCTAGCAGATTCACTACTTTAGAACAAACTATTTTCAGAAAACTCACGATTTTATAAAAACTTTTTTTTTCAATTTTTTTAAAAGTCGAAATTATTTTCATTATATCTCAAAAAGAATAAAAAATACGTATAAAAACATATAGATCAAAGTCAAAGGGATCTTTATGGCTTATTATTGTCTTTTATTATTTTTCATTCATACAAAAATTTACAGAGTTATGAATGCTTAAAGACTGCGCGACCGCGCAAATTGGAACAAAAAGTTTGAGGAAAAATCGTGAGTTTTCCGAAAATAGTTTGTACTAAAATAGTGAATCTGCTAGAATCTATCAAAAGGTCTTTAATGAAGTGAATTATAGATGGAATGTGAATTATTTTAATTCTGGTGGAAACGACGCTCATTAAACCACATGATTTAGAAGAAAAAACCATCGTATATGTTTCTTATTTGCATGATATCTTACTCATTTTACGCGCAAAAAACTTGTAACAGCACTCATTTTAAAGCTTATGTATAGCACTATAAAACCCAATTTCACCGAAATGCATAAAATGTAAAACCTCGACACTAGATGGCTTTAAATACAACAATTAAATCTTGAACGAAATAAAAACGACTTTTCTCTTTCAAATCTTGCTTAATATTTTTCCTAGAACACTTTATGTAATGCCGATTTATTAAGATTTTTATTGACATTATTTTGTTCATTACATGATTTTCGTTAAAATGTATAGTTTAAGAAATATTTGCAAAAAAAACAAAGAAAAACGCCGAAAATATATGAATCTTTAGTGCCAGTAACTTGAAAAGAATTATTTTTTTTGAAAAACTATAGAAGACATTTTTTCTTATAATTAGTTTTTTTATCGATTTCCGACGTTATTTTGAAAAAATGTAATTACACATTTGAGAAGGGGTGTCATCCCCCCGGGGGGTGAGGGCGCAACCCGAATTGTTTTCACTTTTGAACTTGAGGGTAAGATGAACCTAATTCCAAAATTTCATTCAATTCGGAGCACAGTAAAAAAAATTCAGAGGTTATGCCCTTTTTTCGTCTCCGTTTACTGCACTAATAGTGATCGCAAAAAAATCGAAAATGAAAATTTTTGCATATCTTTGTACGTTTCAGTGGTTTCTGAACATTCTATTATACCTTAGAAAAAATTGATGTATGTGTGTGCGGATACAAATTTTCGTCGACGATTTCTGGAACACCGATCATAAATAATTTAAAAAATATTTGAATAATTTGAATAATTTAAAGAACATTTGATATGTATTGATATAGAGACGTGCTGGTTAGTTTTTGGCAAAGACAGGTCTAGCCGTTTTGGAGATACGTGGCAAAAAGTGCCAAAAACGGTAACTCAGTATTTAAGAGAACGGAGCGTCCGATTTTAATAATTCTAAGAACATTCTACTTGTATTGACAAGATGAACTGCTCAAATTGTTGGAAAGGCAGGCCAAGCGCTTGTGAACTCTCAAAAATAATTTTAAAAAAAATGCCACATGGCGATCGAAAATGTTTATTGGACATATGTACATCAAATTATTACATATTTTTTTAAAGATTTTAAAAATGAGTACTAATTTTGTTGGGTTCCGTACCAAGATTCTTAATTTTTAAAGTTAACTTGTATGCTTCAAACGAATATCAAAATTGTCATATTTTTTTTTAAATTTTTTACTTTAAATATAAATTTAAAAACAATTTAATTTTAAAAATTGTACATATTTTATATGCATTTTTCTAATCATAAGAAATCTATCCTCAGATAGATTCAGCATGTTAATTAATGTAAACATACTTAAGTGTTTTATGCGATAAGATCGTCGCTATATAACATGAACGATAAAATATATAGTATTTATAATTAACTATTTGAAAATATTTAAAAAAAATCTTATTATTTTAAGTTATTTAATGAATTATTATTTGGACTGAAAATCGAAGCTTGCGTATCTTTACGTTTCAGAGGTTTCTGAACATTTTAGCATACCTTATTGTTAGGTGAATGTGTGTATGTATGTATGTATGGATACAATTTTTCGTCCACGATTTCGGGCGCACGGATCAACCGATTTGAATGGTTCAAAAAACATTCGATTCCTATTGATAGGGAGATGTGCTGATTAGTTTTTGGCGAAGGCAGGTCCAGCCGTAACGGAGATACAGAGCAAAGAGTGCAAAAAATACAAATCGAGTTTTTGAGAGAACGGAGTATCGGATTTAAATTATCTAAAAAACATTCAATTTGTAATGATTGGGAGAAAAGGTGATTAGTTTTTGGCAAAGACAAGTCTCGCCATTTCGAAGATACAGAGCTAAATGTGCAAAAATGGCAGTTTTTGAGTGAACTAAGCGTCCGATTTGAATGATCTAAAAAACTTTCTGCTTGTATTGACAAAACAATTACTTTTAAGGATAAAAAATTCTAACATCTTTTTTTATTTTCCATAAAAATAAATTTGTATTTTGTAATTTTTGATTAAAAATTCAAAAAATACCCAGGCTAAGCACAGTCTAAGCGCCACTCTGGTACAAATGTTTACCCAAGTGCGTTTAGACTGTTTATGTATTGTAGCACTTTTTCAATTATTTGAAAACGAAAACTATTGAAAAATGTGAAAATGCCGCCAAGCTAAGCACAGTATAAGTGTTAATGTCGAACAGAATTATTTGCAAATGCGTTTAGACTGTGACCATACAGAAAGCACTTTTTCAATTTTGTGTAAATTAGGCAACTATTTCTTTTTTTGAAATTGAATTCGAAAAGAAATGATGATTGTTAATGTTCTGGAGATAAATTCTGGAGATTTATGATTTACATTTGATTTGCTCGGATATAACGAGATAGCAAAAATCATGAAAGTTACAGTATTTGTAATGATATATTTGAAAACGTTTAAAATTTTCTCAAATATTTCATTACGGTACGAGAAGTTCCAGCAATTCGCCTTAAGGCACGGTGCCACACACCACTAAATTAATATTTCAATTTGGTTCAACAATTATCAATATATATCTTTTACTACCTTCGGCAGTTCCAGGTTCCGTTCAGATTCAGCACCTTCGGTGTGTGACATTTCTGATGGTACCCCCTGCCACATTTGTCACAAACGATGACCTTATCACCTTCCTTGTCTTCGGATGTTTTACAAATGACACACAAGGGTCCACTGTCCGCCTTGTTTACTTTCAGGTGATTTATTTCTTTGGAAGGGTACCACCGTAATGTGTTGTCGCCGAATTTGACAAGACATTGGTCGCCTAGTACATCTACACTGTTTATAGTCCCTGGAAAGAGGAGAAATAGATAAATAATCGACTTAACACACTATATGCGGGCCCCGTAAAAATACTAAAAACTGAACTGATGTATAGCGGGTAAATTGAGCGTCAAACGCTAACATTTATTGCAAGTGTTCAAGGCACTAAAGTCTGCATTTCAACTACGAATTGTTCAAAGTTTCGATATCAAAGTGTATGAAACAGCTTTTACCACATTTTAGTAAATCAAATTTTATCTAGTTTTTATTAATGTAAGCAAAATATAATGTCCGGAATGTAAATTAAAAGTTATTTGGAGAAAACTAAAAAAATGTACCAAATCCATGTATTGCAAGTTATGGAAATACTAAAGTCCGCATTTCAACTACGAATTATTCAAGATTTCAATATCAAAGTGTATAAAACAAATTTAACTGGATTTTATTAAATTTTATCTAGTTTTTACTAATGTAAATTATAATGTCCGGAATGAAAACTATAAGTTATTTAAAGAAAACTAAAAAAATGTCTTAAATCCATATAGTGCAAGTTATGGAATACTAAAGTCCGCATTTCAACAAAGAAATATTCAAAATTTCAATATACAAGTGTATGAAACAGCTTTTACTAAATTTTAGTAAATTTTAACTAGTTTTTACTAATGTAAACAAATTATAATGACCGGAATGAAAATTTCAAGTTATTTGAAGAAAACTAAAAAAAATGTACCAAATCCATGTATTGCAAGTTATGGAAATACTAAAGTCCGCATTTCAACTACGAATTATTCAAAATTTCAATATCAAAGTATAAACAGCTTTTGACTAGATTTTAGTAAATTTTATCTAGTTTTTACTAATGTAAACATATTATAATGACTGGAATAAAAACTAAAATATATTTGAATAAAACTAAAAGTATGTCCTAAGATCATTTATCGCAAGTGTTCAAGGCACTGAAGTCCGCAATTTAACTACGAATTATTCAAAATTTTAATATGCAAATGTAACTAATAGGTTATACCAGATTTTAGTAAAATTTATCTAGTTTTTACTGAAGTATATAAAACATAGCGGCCGGAGAAAAATTTCCAAGTTATTCAAAAAAATATTAGAAACCGTCCAAAATTCACACATTGCTAAATACTTGTCTATTACCAGAAAAACGTTCCTACAAGATATTTAAATTTGTTATATAGGTGTATACAACAATTTTTCCTAACTTTTAAAATGTAATCTAGCTTATACTGAAGTATACAAATAAAATGTTCGAAACGAACAGAAGAAATATCCTAACTTTACATATTGATAATTATCAAAATACTAAATACTATAATACTAAAATAAACGACAAACAACTAAATCAATTGAATTTAAACAAAAAATGTAAGCATACTCTATTAATTCCATATGTAAACCGATTTTAAAATTACTATAGTGTGACAATTTATTAGATTTATTAACTACAGTAGTACCCCAAATTGAGCGTAATCTGACATACGAGTGTTTCGAGATACGAGCCGCCAAAATTCGAGATATGATATGAAAAATTTCGTCAGTTAGAATGATTTTCTACCACAGAAATATTTTGGCTGTTTCATGAGAGTAAATTATTTTACAGTTAATCATTTCTATTATGAATATTAAATGTGTAGTAATATTATCAACAATACATTTATAGTGATTAATTATACAGATACATGGTAAGATCGAGTTATTTTTGTACATTTATAAAATACTATTTACTGTTTTAACCATGAGTCCAAACAAAAGAGCCATATCTCTTGAATGAAGAAATCGATAAAAATCTTATCATATCTTTTCGAGCTCTAAAAGTTTGTGAATAAAAATTCACCATGAAAAAGCTGCAACAGTTCGAGCATGGACCTCACTGGTTACTGACAAAAGGACTCTACTGACAATAAAATAAAAGAACACTACTGACAGGAAAAAGACTCTACTGACAGGAAAAATAATTCTAATGACAGACAGAAGAACTTTTTACTGACAATAAAATGAAAAGAATATACTGACAGACAAAAGGACTGTATTGACAGGCAAATTTATTTTAATAGATAGCAAAATAGAAGAGAGTATTTTAGAATAAAAAATGACTCTACTGAAGGACTAAAAGACTATAGTGACAATTAAAATGAGGAGACTACTGACATTCAGAAGGATTCAATTTTCAGATGAGATGATTGTACTGGCAGGCAAAAATATTCGACTAACAAAATAATAAAAACTATTGATAGACAAAACGGCTCTACTGACAATAAAATGAAAGGAATACTACCAACAGACAGAAGGACTGTACTGACAATAAAAATGTATATTAATAGTTTGCAAAATGCAAGTGAATGATATTTTAAACTAAAAAAGCAAGAAGACTCTATACTTATAAAAAAATAGGCAGGAAAAATCATTCTACGACAGAAAAAAGTACTCTACTGACAGACAAATGTAATATTTGCATTTTGAGATTTTGTGAATATACTAAAGCAAATGCAGAATGAAAAAATGACTCTACTGTCAGGGAAAATTAATCTGCCAGATTAAAAAAAAGATATTGTAAGCGCCCGAAATGTTAATTAACAGTAATGAACTCCACTACACACAGACACTTTATTACCTCGAAGGACCAGGTATAATTTATTATTAGAATGGCTATATCAGACCTTTAAAATAATAATAAATAAATTGAAGAAAAATAAGTAAGTTTAGTATAGATAGTATTTAATTTTAGTTAAATTTCTTATAACTAGCTTAGTACCTATACTAGGGTAGGAAATTATTTTATTATGTTAGGTAGAGGAAGATGGATGTATAAAATTTGTAAAGCTCAAACAGATATTTTATAATAAAAAAGCAGGTATTGACAAAAAACTAAATATAAAATGAGTTGGGCAAATTAGCTCCAATTTAGATTAAGGATGTGTATCTAAAATATCTATGCCTAATAAAATCATCATTAAATTGCATTGATATTTAATTAAATCCGCCTAATTAGCGAAACCAAATTATATCAAAACATTTATAAAAGTGCTGCAAGCACAACCATGAAACTGAACAAAGAAAATATTTATGGAAAAGCTCTCCAAGGAAAAAGACTACAAATATGCAAGTTGTTCAATTCATGTCTGACTTATATCCTCAGTACCACTAGAAAAAAACATTAAATAAATAAACCATAAAATTAACTTTAATTTTTAACCATAATTTATATGACAAATATTGCCTCGAGATACGAGCGATTCGACATACGAGCGTGGTTAGGGTACAAATTAATTTCGTATGTCAAAGTACCACTATATATTTAATTATAATTAAATGAATACCTAGGTAGAAGCACCCATCCATATCAACGAGAACATCCTGACCTATACTGTACAGCTTGGCTGATTTTTCCTTGTTGACCTGCAGACATTAAACAATTGTTTAAATATATCAATATATATATATATATATATATATATATATATATAAAATTTTTATCCTCATTACCTGTGTCGTCGAATCAGGTACAGCACTAACATCCTGCACCTTGACCTGATCCCTCCCGAGTCCATTGCTCACAACTCCCCGATCCAAATTATTGTTATCCATATAATTCGGATTACTACCATCACTGCTCCTCCGTTCCAAAGAATTCGTCTTGTCCCTGCACGCATTCAAAACCATTCCACCAGTTTGTGCAGTATTTCTCTGATTCATGGTACTGTTGCTCATTTTGATATAGTCGACTGGACTTAATATGTTTTCTTTCGGAAACTCTTGCAGTTTGGCTATTTCCTTGTTGTCATCTCGATCGAAGGATGAGTTTGAAGTTTTTTGTTAAAGTTTGAGCCAAACCAGGGACAAGAATCTCCTTCAGAGTTTATTAAGTCCAAGGTGTGGGAGCGATCATTGTTGTCTTGGAACATCACAAATTGATGCTGTTATACATCTAAAAGAATAAAGGATAGATAAATAGAAATTAATTTATAAAGTTACCCTTTATTGAATATTGAAAATGTCATAAGGAGCGCTAGTAAAATATATAATGAATTGCCAAACGATATTAAGATGACCAATGATGACAAATTTGAAAGAAAAATAAAGAAATATTATAAGGAAATTGAAGACAAAGAAGACTGAGAAGTAATATAAAGATATTTTAATTATAATAGATATTATATTAATGAAATAGTCATATGAAATGTATATATAAAACTAGCGAACCCGACGAACTCCGTTTCGCGACCAGATGGTTTCGTGAGAAAGATGAAGAAATTTTTTGTTTGTTTTATATTTGAAGAGGAAAAATTTGATTTTATCACACAACAGTAATGCATTTATTTCGATTACAAAAATTAAGTATTTTTTAGTTGAACTTCTATAAGTAAATGAAAGTGAATCTGCAAATTATCCGTTTCATTGAAGTGCTCTTTGGTAAACCACATTTTTTGTTTTTTGATCTGACGTTAACACAAACAAAGCGGATGGTTTTCCAACTCGTGAACAGGCAACGTATAACTGCCCATGTGAAAAACAATGATTTTCTAAATAATCTATTTGAAATTTATCCCACAAACACTAAGCGATTGGCCTTGCGACTTGTTATTGCGAACGCAAGGCGAACTGGAAATTGCAATCGTTTGAAGTCAAACGGAAGACCAGTCGGAATCATTGGTATGTCACCAAACCGCCAGCAATTTTTGATTGAATGGTGAAATTCAGTGCGTGTACATCATTATTGTTTGCGGCAAGAATTGCTCCTTGTCTTAACCAATCATAATTCTGATAATTCTCACTAATGTCATTACTAGAATTTTTAATTACGGTATTTTCTTAGCTATAAACCTTGCGGAGTCCGAGACCTTTCCAACGAATGCTAAAATTGTCAAAATCGGTTCGTGCGTTCTGGAGTTATTTCGTCAGGAAGAAAAACCCGACTTATTTTTATATATATAGAAGATATGAAAACTGTTTTACCAGGCACCTCTGCCTGTCTGAGATATGAAAATAATGTATATATATAAATAAATAAATAAAATATATAAACTAGTGATGCGCCGACTCAATATTTCTTAATTAAAATTATTCAAATAAGAAACTAGTGGGGTGGGTGGCATCGTGCCTTAAGGCAAATTGCTGGAACTTCCCGTACCGTAACGAAAAGTTCGAGGAACTTAAAATGTTTTCAAATAGATTATTATAAATATTGTAACTGTGGCGGGAATAGCTCACTCAGTAGCGTTCTCGACTCACATGCTGGAGGAATTCGGTTCGAATCTCCAGCAATACCAGAATTAAAAATATAAAATATAAAATTAGATTAAGAAATGTTAATTTGTTGAATACAAGAAAAAATTGTATTAGAAGTAAGAAGGAAAAAAAAGTTTAGTTTAGAAGATGAGGAGAACTACATATTGAGAAAAAGGAGAAGAATGAAAATTAGTAGAAAGAAAATTGAATGGAATATTAGGATATAAGAAGAGATAGTATATATATGATGAATGTATAAGAAATATATATGTAAGAATTGTCTAGAATGTGATGAAAAATAATATGAACAATGTAGATGGCTAAAAATGCTGTAAAGCGGAGGCCAATAAAATAATAAAAAAAAAACAAAAAAAATTGTAACTTTAATTATTCGTATTTTATAGACAAAATATAAGAGCTTATAAATTAGACAACGACTTTTATATATGTTTACATAAAAAGTAAATAAACAAAACTTAATCAAGAGGATTTAAAATGAAGGATTATATTTCTAAATATTATAGAAACTGAATTGCAAAGTTAAAATTATTTATTTGAAGTATATAAGTGATGCTTAGAACTTTAGCTAGAATTAGAATTAAAATCCGAATTATATTTGATATTCTAAAAAAAAAAAAGAAAACTAATGGTGTATGCATCGTGCCTTAAGGCAAATTGCTTGTACTTCCCGTACCAAAAATTGATATTTTAAAAAAAGATTAAATTAAATAACTTTGAGAAAATTAGATTTTTGAAAAATTTTAAATTCTTGAAAAAAATTAAATTTTTGTAAAAAATTGTATTTTTTGTTTATTTTGAAATATTTTGGAAATTTTGAACTTTTTAACTTCCCGTAAGGTCAGTTATAGCAATAAATTTGTGCATATTTTCACGTTTCAACGGTTTCTGAACATTTTGGCATCTCAAAAAAAATTGGTGTATGAGTGTGTGTATGTATGTATGGATACAATTTTTCGTCCACGTTTTCCGGCGCACGGATCAACCGATTTAAATGGTTTAAAAAACATTCGATTCCTATTAATAGAGAGATGTGCTGATTCGTTTTTGGCAAAGGCAGGTCCAGCCGTTACGGATATACGGAGAAAAGAGTGTAGAATATAGAAATCGAGTTTTTGAGAGAACGGAGTATCCGATTTGAATGGTTCAAAAACTATTCAATTAGTAATGACGGGGAGAAGTGGTGATTAGTTTTTGGCAAAGGCAGGTCCAGCCATTTCAGAGATACGGAGCAAAATGTGCAAAAATGGCAATTTCTGAGAGAATTAAGCATCCGATTTGAATGATTCAAAAAACTTACTGTTTGTTTTGACAGAACAATTGCTTTTGGGAAAAAAAATATTTCAAAAAAAAATTTTTTTTCAAAATAATTCAGATTATAATTTTAATTCTGGCTAAAGTTTTAAAGCTCACTTATATATTTTAAATAAATAATTTTAACTTTATAAATAAGTTTATATAATTTTTGACAATGTTACAGTATTTATTTATAATAATCTATTTGAAAACATTTAACATTCCTCGAACATTTTGTTACAGGCACAATGCTATACACCACTATTTATGTATTGTTTTTAAATATTTATAAAATTTAATAACACAATAAGAATATAGCAAGAGTAATACAACTTACAAAATTCGTAAAGACAATTAACATTTTTTAAAAAAAATTAAATTAATAAATTACATCACTTATGCGTTTCATCGAGCAAAAGTAATTGTGTAATGATATAAATGGTGATCACACCTTATAAATGGTTCAGCTCGTGCAAAAATGCTCTTGAACAAAATTGTAACACAATCAATTTTTTAAAATTAAACATAAATTTTATCAATTGCAATATTTATAGAGTTTACAAACATAACACTCACATTGTTTATGAAATAGATTCGGTATAAATTTTCATAAAATGTATGAACATGGAACTTATGATACAGCCTTTTATCATATAGAAAATATGATACAGTTTGCACTAAATGCACGCAAACAAAACTAATTGTAAGAGCGACAAATGAGAATCAACCTGATTCTTAAAAATAAAAGTGATGGATTACATCTCTTACACAATTTTATTGAATGAAAATTTCTGGTAATGTGAAAAATTTTTCGAGTCTACCAAAATCTCAATAATTTAAGTTTTAGAATATAAAAGTACCAAGAGTTCATAATAATTATTAGCAGGAGATACTTCTTATGTTTGCTGAGCTCTAAATTTTTGTAAGACTAAAAATTCCTAGCCTTAAAGGAACACCATTATTCAAAAGCTGATATGTATGTTCAACATCACATTGTAATTATTATTAAACAATAATTCTCACGTTAGTAAAGTTGTATTTAACTAAATTAAGATGTATCACATAATTTTGTCCTAAAAAACATAAAAGCATCAAAACTTAAAATAAATACCAAGTGAAATGTTTTGGTTAAGAAAAAAAACATTAAATTGTAAAATACTTACTTGCAGTCAACATATATTAGTTATATGAATAAAATAAAAGCTTGTAGTCACAATTTTATAAACAAAATGATGTATAGTCAATTTAAATATATAATTTCAAGTATTTCAGTCACTATAGCAAAAGAAATAAATGATGTAGCATTTAGCCGCCTAAATGTCAAACACTAAGTACTAATAAAATTGTACAAATTGTACACCCACAAAAATTCTACATTTACATACTAAATCTGCACGTATTAAATTACTCAAATGCGTTAAAAACAAACTAAAAACTAATATATAAAACAGTTTATAATTACCACAAACATTTGACGTACATTTGACACGATCAAGAAATCTGCAGCCATTATCATGAAATCTCCATCTCTTCCACAAATTCTTGAACAAACCACAAAACTATTATTAAATGCACCACATTTTACAGTAAACAATTCTAAATAAATCCTCTATTTATCCTCTGATCAATATCTTGCAATAAAATATAACTTTGTTAACAAACTTTTGGTCGACCGACGTTTGCAAGGATAGTTGTGTCTCGATGCCGCCTACGATGCGAAAAGATATAAAAATATGCCCGTGTAATTGTGCAAATTGGAAATTGATAGACAGGTTTATTCATAAATGTGTAATTATGATTAATTTGAAAATGTTTCTATTGAAATTTTAACGAATTGTAAATGATCACTGCCCGAACTGGTCATTCTTTAACAACATAGCCATAGGAGAGGTAGAGATACGTTTGTATAGATGGGATGTCAGCGGGTAATGGATGAAGTCGTGCACGAGTTGTATCTATGGTTTTAGCGGCAAAATTGAAAATGTAATTGAAATTTTGTGATTTATGTTGAAAATATACAAATTTGAAGGACTAAATTAATTAATTATAAACAAGTTATGTTATACTATTGAAAATAATCATGCTAAACTATTTAAAATAATTATTTTTAAAATATATTACAATTTGGTTGTTGTCATTGTAGTCGCTGATGGCGCTGAACACACTTTAAAGAACTGTCATGTCAAGTCATTCATAACGATAATATATATTTCTTTGATTCGCGACGAAAATAGTTTATTTAATACTTATTTCAATAACAATATGGCTAAATTTGTTGCACATTATTTATTTACAAACACTCACATGTGTTATTATAAATATCGATATTAATTTCAAAACAAAAATGGCGTCTCTTCATAAGTTCAATCTGACAGTTACGTTACGAAAGTGAATTTATATAAAATCACCTTAATATTATTATTAAAATGTCATTTATCTTATCTATTAAAAATGCCGTTTGACAGCTTAAGCAAACCATCCTCAAAAAAAATAAATTTTGAAAAGTCTGTGGAACAAATAAGCCTCCAAGATGACAGTGAGGATATTCCTTAAAGAAATCGAGCAATTTCGCAAAATACGCGAAGAGTCCAAAACCGAATACTTAAACTCAACCCACGACTTTGGTCAAAATAATTCCTTCACCATGGATCAACCTTCGCCTGTACCTTTACCCACAGAAAAGTTTTACGATACTTTAATAGAAAAAATGCCTTTGAGTTATGAAAACAACAAGTTGGCAGAGATAAAAGAGTTGGTGGAAGGCAATTGTAGTTTTCCTAAATTAATAAGATCCAAAAGCAATTTGAAGAAACGTATAAACATTTCTACTAAAAATGATACTTTGGAAACCTCTTTGTTTCACAGCAGTGTTAGTGAGTATGAAAATATAGATTTAAGTTTAAATGCAACTATTTTGAAGCCTTTGGAGGAACATATTGAAATGGCTAAAGATAAATCGGAGAAGTTTGTGACTCAATTCGGTAATATAGACTTGGTTAAGGATAAATTGATGAATGAAAGCGATAGCGAGAAGTTGTGCAATAATATAAAAGAGGCTAGCAGGTTTTTGAGTAGTTTGAGACAGGTAATAAATATGTAATAAAACATGTAAAATAAAGTAAATTATATAAATCCAGTAAATTATTTCTAATTGATGTCTATATTTTATCTTTTTAGTATCACGAAGAGTCTAAAAGCATAGAAGAGTCTGCGAAAAAAATATCATCAGCACCTGTGAAAGACAACGACAATAATAATTCCATCTACAAAGAACTCACAAACGAATTGATTGCCGGCATGGAAGAGATACAACAGCTTGTTAATTCAATATAGAAAATATTATCTTAACTTATTTATATACTATCACAAATATAAGTTTAATATATATATATATATATATATATATATATATATATATATATATATATATATATTAATTTTTTAGTAAATTAATAAATAGATTTATTGCAATTGAAATAAGATATACATTCTGTAAAAAGAATAAAGTTATTTTATAATTAATAACTTAATTCATTTTTACAAGATTTATATTTTTGAGTAAGTGCTTTTGAAGAAACATTGTTGTTTAAATTAAGAATATTTAAGATGATGAAAGATATACAAATATAATGAAAAAAATTAAGAACATTCAATCAGTTTTGAGTCCCCATTTCCATCTTTTTTCAATTGATAAAACTACGAAACAAACAAAAATATAATATAATAAATGTCTGAAATTTGTAAAGTAACAAAAAATATGGTACAGTTTAGAAAAACTAATATTAAAAAATTATAGCTGAGCAATTAATAAATTGATGCGCAAGAATCTCCAAAAATATATGTATGACAAAAATAATAAAAATCAAATTAAAGTGAAATAAAATACCAAAAACTTACCACATGAATTATTTAAAAAATACTTTTGTTGTTCTTATGCTTTTTTAAGTAAATAATTCTTGTGGATTTTTTTTATTTTATTTTATATTTAATTTTAATTATCCATTGTTTTTCGTGATTGTTTTGTACAATTTTTAATTGCATATATATAATAGTTACCAAAAATTAAATTTAAAATTCCCTTAACAAACTTCAGAAAGATTTATCAAAATCTGAATAATTCGTTTAAGAGGAGAATACATACATCATACAGATATATATATATATATATATATATATATATATATATATATATATTTGTAATGATGTACGTAAATATACTCCTCCTAAACGATTATTCGGATTTGGATAAATCTTTCTGAAGTTTGTTAAAAATTTATTAGGATTTACGTACGTCACGTGATTATAAAAATATAGTAATATTTTTTAAATAAATGGAAAAAATTACAAAAAAATCGCTTATAATTATTTGATATTAAAAATATTTGAGACATTATTTGGCATTGAAAACAAATGAAAACTATCATCTGCCAAAAATTTCAATTTACTTATGAGCCTAGACAATATTGGAATATGTATAATAAATTCATGATTGTGAATAAGAAAAATGAAATGTGTACATTATTATTGCCGAAAAGCAGCCGAGATGTGCCAAAAATTAAAATAATATAAGATACAGTATATGTATGGCAGATTGAATGATACACATATGAACAGGATTTGACTTATTAATTCACTTAAAATATGAAATTAAGTAATAATCAGGGCCGGTCCTACCTTGAATGAGTGCACGCTTTAGGGGGCGCCAACACAAGATTCCGATATGAAATTTTCAATATAGTTTTTTTTTTTCAATATAATTCAAGAAATATATAATTTCTTTGCATCTTTTATTAAACTTTGCACAATATTTTTAAAATACGTTAAGAAATTCACTCTAAAATAACAAATGGGAAAGTAAAGATGAATACATACAATTCGACCCTTACGATATCAATTAGGAGAAGTTTAAGGTGCAATTTTGGATATCTTAAATGATAAATAATTAATTTAAAATAATCCAACATGAAGTACTAGTGTTATGTCATGTTATGATTTTGTTTAATAATGAAAGGCTAGAATTATTTTGCTCTCTATGATTTGCTGAATAGAATAAATCACATAAAATGCTCAAAATAAATAAGTAAAATGCTTCAAAAGCCAAATATTAATTAATGATAATAATTAATAACAAACTTGAAGTAATATAATGAGCTGAGGACCCCAAGAGCGACCCTAGTAAAAATGTATATTAAATTATTATAATAAAAATGTAATATAGATACTATAATTACTAAAAAAAAAAAACATTTAAAATATGATACGAAATTATAATAATTATTATCAACATTATTGTAGCAATTATTTTGAGTGAAAAAATCCAAGGTAATATTGTACTTTTACTGATGATACTATATATTAATGTTTTTCTGATTTGTTGTACCGTTTAAAAGACTAATTTCCAATATAGTGTGGGAATTGAGACTCATCATTTTATTTAAAGCAGTTCTACATTTAAAATCGATCATATATTGATGTTTATGCATTTTGGTGTGAAGAGTAATAAAAACAATAATTGTTATTTTTAGGTAAACGGTAAATATTAGTATAGGATTTTAAAAAATTGTAGGCATGGGTACAGGACAACGTCTGTCGGGTCATCTAGTATATATATGTATTCAATAAATAAGTCCTGGATTTTTTTCAATATATTGATTGTTTCTTTTCCGAACAGTAAATCCAATAATAAAAAACAATTTGTTTTTTGAAGATGTTTAATAACGACGTTTCGGAACTAGATACGTTCCATCATCAGGTTTATTCTGTCAAAGACAATGTTTTTTAAAACTATTGACTAACGTTAATTAATGATGATAATTGAACCATCTTTGACAGAATAAACCTGATGATGGAACGTATCTAGTTCCGAAACTTCGTTATTAAACATCTTCAAAAAACAAATTGTTTTTTATTATTGGATTTACAGTTCGGAAAAGAAACAATCTATATATATATATATATATATATATATATATATATATATATATATATATATACTAGTACAAACAAAAAACAACCCATATATCCATTACCACCATCAATGAAAATAAAATCTCTCTCTCTCTCAGGAACACAATATATTTGCTACAAACGAAATAGTTCTCATAAAATATCTATATAACAATACACGCAAATTAATAACTTGTTCTTAAAATTATATGTACACATTTATGTGAAATGTAAATCATATTATCTTCATTTATCATCATCACACAGTATGAAATTTTATATCAGAAGATATTCAGGAATGTTGGTTGACTAAATTACAAATCGCTGATTGGATTTCCCCATTCTCTTGCCATCAATAAAATCGTGTTCTGGTGTAGTTTGGGTCCTATTAGGGGGTTCATTTGGGCCATGTAGCAGCAGAGCCAGCTGCAGAGGAAATAGATCGATAGAGAAATATATTATGAAGAACTAGTGGTGCATGGCATCGTGCCTCAAGGCAAATTGCTGGGACTTTCCGTACCGTAATGAAATGTTCGAGGAAAAAAAATCAGTAGTCAATAAAAATTGATCAATAATTTACAACAATTGTTTTATACATTTTCAAATAGAAAGTTATATTAACTTCCCATAGGGTAAGTTAAAGTAATCGCAAAAAACCGAAAATGAAAATTTTTATATATCTTTACGTTTCACAGGTTTGTGAACATTTTGGCATACCAAAACTTAAAAAATTGTCATTTGGCGGTCAAAAATATTTATTGGACATATGTACATCAAATTATTAGATATTTTACAGAGATTTTAATATTGTGTACCCATTTTGCGTAAACTTCTTTGGGTTCCGTACCGAGATTTTTAATTTTAAAATTCATGTATATGGTACAAACAAATGTCCCCTTCGATTTTCGACGAGTATGGAATAACCGATTTGTATGATTAAAAGTTCTATTCAGTTCGTACTCGATCGCGAGGCTTTTAAGTAGTTTTTGAGAGATCGTATTATCCGATTAGATTAATTCAAAAAACATTGTTTGAGTAGATGATGTGCAAAAATGAATTTAAAGAAAATTGAGTAATTTTGAAAATTTGCAACAAAAAAAAAATCAAAATTTTCAAAAAAATTCAAAGTTTCAAAATTTTTGAAATTTTTCATCATTTTCAAAAAAACTAAATTTTGAGAAATTAAAAAAAACTGATTTCTTACATAAATTTGAGAATAAATCAAAAATTTCCAAATTCTTAAAATATTTAAAAAAACGTTTTTTTTTTAAATTCCAAAAATTTTAAACTTCGAAAAAAAAATTCAAAATTTTGAAAAAAAATCAAAGCTGTCAAAAAATGTTTAAATTATCAAAAAAATCAAATTTAAAAAAAAAAACTCTTGTAAACCGTACACATAAAAACGCTCGTCGCCCAATTCAAAAAGCACTTATAAGTTTACAGTATGTAATAAATAATCTATTTGAAATTATTGAAATCTATTATTGATTATTTTTATCGTTCATATAATATACAGTGACGATATTATCGCTCAAAACACTTGAGAATGTTTACATTAGCAAGAGGTGCCGAATGAATCCATCTGAGGATATATTTCTTACGATCAGAATAACGCATTTGAAATATATACATTTCCCAACTGAATTGTAAAGTTAAAATTCATATTAAAAGTACTTTAAAAATGCCAACAATTAGTTAATCACCACTTCTCATCATTACGAATTAAATATTTTTCGGACCATTCAAATCGGAAGTTCTCTCAAAAACTCGATTTCTATTTTTTGCACTCTTTACTCCGTATCTCCGTAAGGGCTGGATCTGCCTTTGCCAAAAACTTATCCGAACATTTCACTATCAATAGGATTCGAATGTTTTTTGAACCATTCAAATCGGTTGATCCGTGCGGCCGGAAACGTGGACGAAAAATTGTATCCGCACATACATACACACATACACATATATACACACGTACACAACCATTTTTTCTAAGGTATGCCAAAATGTTCAAAAACCTCTGAAACGTGAAGATATGCAAACATTTTCATTTTCAATGAGAATTAAAATAAAAATGCAAGATCTTTTAAATTTTTTGTTAAATTTCACACAAACGAAGTCACAGACTTTATTGTGAACAATTTGAATTGAAAAAATAGAGGAAACTTAATTCTACACATAGTATATAATGCAGTTTTTTGTAGATCTTTGTAATCGTATAAAAACCAAAATTGAAATTTCATGCATGTCTTAGAAAATATGGATAATTGTGTGTGATTCAAATAATTATAACTCTAACTAAAATTCTAAAGCTCATGAAATAAATAATTTTGACTATGCAATCGAGTTTATATAATTCTCAGAAATATGAGATAAGGTCCTTCATTCTAAGTTTTGTTTGTTTACTTTTCATGTAAATATATATATATATATATATAAACGTCGTCCAATTTATAAGCTCTTATATTTTGTCTTTAGAGTACGAATAATGAAAGTTACAGTATTTATAATAATCTATTTGAAAACATTTAATATTCCTCGAATATTTCATTACGGTACGGGAAGTTCCAGCAATTTGCCTTCAGGCACGATGCCATACTACTAATGCCTAATAATAATCAATAATAATTGAAACACAGCTTTTATATATATTTTAAATATTTAAGAAAAACCTATAAAATTAAAGTTGTCTAAAGAAGTGCATATGATTATTATTACTAAATTGAAACGTTTATCATTAATTGTGATTTGCAATAAAACTTGCTACACTATAAAAGGCACAGTTGGCTAAGAAAGTTATACAAAAATGCTCTGTAGGTTATATAATTATATTAATCATATTAAAAATTAAAATTAGTACTTTGTGTATTAGCTTTTTTCGAAATTGAAAGCTGTGAATTGTTAACTTGTAAATACATATTCAATTTGCACGTTAGTAGATTTCTTATTTCGTCTTGTGAATTGCCATTTAATTTTGTGAGTAGAGTCTTTTTTAGTGTTTTTATATTATGTTCCAGCTTGCTCGTCAGTTGGGTCCATTTATAATATTATAATATAATAGTTAATTTACTGGTCGGACCTTTTAATGTCTATTTTTAATTTGCTTGTCAGTAGAGTCCTTTTTAAAGAATTCATACAGTAGAACCTCAATTAACCGGACTAATTGTTATCGATAGACATCCGGATAATCAAAAATCCGGATAATCCAATGTATGAAAAATAATGATGTGTATTTATCAAAAATAAAAAATACATACATAGATATCAATGAAAATCAATGTTTAATGAAAAATTCACCTTTCCTTATGTATGTACATATATATTTAACTTCCCGAAGGAGAAGTTTATGTTTTCATAAAAAAATCCGATTCGCTAATTTTATGTTTTCTCGACGTTTCAAGCCATTCTGAATCGAATGAAACCAAATTTGGATAAAGTGTGTGTGTGTGTGTGTGTGTGTGTGTGTGTGTGAACACATTTTTTGCCGTAAATCGACGTTTTCTCCAAAACGGCTGGACCGATTTCAAAAATTTAAAAGCCATTCGATGTATCTCGATGAGGACTATCGTCTCTGAGTTTTGTGCGACGATCGGCCGGGCCGTTTCTTTGTAAATTGCAGAAAAGTGAAAAATTTTTCGTCCACGTTTTAGCCCGCAATTCTGAATCGATTCTGAAAATTCAAAAACCATTCGATAGATATTGGTTGGGAATCGTGCTGATTACTTTTTGGTAAAGATCGGCCGGGCCGTTTTCTTGTAATAAAGTTTTTTTTAAAAAAATTTCGACGATTTTTATGATTTTTTTTTTTGACGGTAAATACCATAGTTTTCTAGGTCATACTAAATTATTACGGCCCTACGACAACTCGTTTAGCTTTAAAAATTCGTCAAAGTTTGCAAAAATTGGTATCATTTTATTGACATTTGTCAAAATGAAATCTTTGATCGACGTTTTCTCAAAAACGCCTTAACCAATTTCAGAAATTTAAAAGCCATTTGATGTATTTCGGTGAGGACTTTCATTTGTCAGTTTTGTGCGACGATCTGCCAAGACGTTTCTTTGTAATTTCAAAAAAAGTGTTAAACTTTTCGTCCACATTTAAGCTCATCCTACCGAACCGATTTTAAAAAATCAAAAACTGTTCGAAAGATATTAGTTGGGAATGGCACTGATTAATTTTAGGTGAAAATATAACGAGCCGTTTTCTTGTAATTAACTGTTGAAAAAAAAATTTAAGCCGATTTTTATGGATTTTTTTTTTAGTGATATATACCATGGTCTTATAGAACTTACTGAAATTACGGCCTTACGACAAATAGTTTGATTTTAAAAATTCATCAAAGTTTGAGAAAATGAGTAGTTCTTTTGAGATTTGTTAAAATTAAAATTAGACTATTTACTTGGTATAATGATAGAGTACTTGGTCTTGAACATAATAAACCATTAAAGTCCTGAAAACTGGTTCAATTATATAAAATTTGCTTTTAGAAAATACTCCGAGTCAAAGTGTTCGTTAGTTTCAATTATGTGTAATAAATCCATTTGGAATACTTTTAATGACTCATAAATTAATTTATTTTTTATTGATTAAGACGATTATTTAAACATATCGGAAAGTTCATGTAACTTGCCTCAAGGCAAAATACCAATACCAACTAGTTTCTTAGATTATATTACATGCATATACTAAACTGCAGCATAAATCGTGCAAAAATTCGATTTGTAGGTATGTACATACATATAACCCTGTCATGGTTGATAGTCCGGATAATTGCAAATCCGTATAACTGAGGTGCGGATAATCAAGGTTCTACTGTATCAATTTTCAATTGTTCGTCATTAGTGTCCCATTTTCTTTGGTGTATGTTAGAAATGTATGTAAATAACCTTATAGCCAACTTTTTGTAAAATATTATAGGCTTATGAGAATTGTTGTTTAGATTGAAAAACAAATTCACAATTATGTACAAATCTATAGCTCACAATGCCTGGGCAACTTTTGTTCCTAATTTCATATTTACTTATATACATCGATAATGATCCAGCCGATTTAGAATATAATTAGTCTAGTTAATAATAAAGGCTTCGATAAGTCTGTTTCTACTTACAAGAGCCAGCAACAAGCTGCTGTCAATATCAAAACGACTTGCACAATCCTAAAAAAAATGACATACAATTAATCATACATTTTTGGCACATCAAAATTCTACAAGTATTAATATCAATCACTCCTTTCCTCAATCACATGACAAACATTGACAACCTTGAAACAAACGAATGAAACCCATTTTAATTAAAAAGTATCACAAATAAAGAAATTGTTACATATAAAACATTTATCAAATCATCCCTCATCGATCTCGGGTAACAAAATAGGAGTACTTACCCCCTGTTTGGTCCTTTTGGCACTATAAAAGGTAAAACGACACCCACTATACCCCAAAGGACGGTGAAAATAATAAAGGGAATTGCTGAAGCAGCCATTATTAACGAGGTAAATTACAGATATTATTTTTTGGTGAAAAAGAATTATCTGTAGAGCAAGTAAATTGTGTGGCTGTCAGTCAGATGACAGAAGGAGTCACATGAAACCGACGTCAGAGCGGACAGTGTTTCCAGAGTAGGGATGAGATTTGAAAGGAGCGCGGAATTCAAAAATGATAATAGTCATTGTAGAATTTATGTTAAAGTTTATATGAATAATAAAACACCCGTTTAGACAGAAGGATAAACACAGACTAACTGATTATATATTTTAAAATAATTACATGCATTACAAATATTAAAATAAGCATAGATAACATAATATATATAGATTGACGCAAAACAAAGAGAAACATATATACATAAACAAAGAGTAGAACATAGAATGTTTAGAATCAAACTTCAACAGTTATAGATAAATACGATAAATTTAAATAAATGAGAATAATGGTGTATGGCATCGTGCCTTAAGGCAAATTGCTGGAACTTCCCGTACCGTAATAAAATATTCGAGAAATTTTAAACGTTTTCAAATATATTATTACAAATACTGTAACTTTCATTATTTTTGCTATCTTCTTATATCTGAGCAAATCAAATGTAAATCATAAATCAATTTATCTCCGGAACATTAACAATCGTTCGTCATTTCATTTCGAATTCAATTTCAAAACAAAAAAAATAGTTGCCTAATTAACACAAAATTGAAAAAGTGCTCCCGTATAGTCACAGTCTAAAAGCATTTGCAAATAATTCTGTGCGCCATTTTCAATTATACTGTGCTTAGCTTGGCGGCATTTTTACATTTTTCAATAATTTTCACAAAATTGGAAAAGTGCCCCAATACATAAACAGTCTAAACGCACTTGGGTAAACATTTGTACCAGAGTGGCGCTTAGACTGTGCTTAGCCTGGGTAATTTTTTGAATTTTTAATCCAAAATTACAAAAATATTTTAAGGAAAATAAAAAAAGATGTAATAATTTTTTATCCTCAAAAGCAATTATTTTGTCAGTACAAACAGAGTTTAAAAACAAGTTTTTTGAATCATTCAAATCGGATGCTTTGTTCACTCAAAAACTGCCATTTTTTCTACATTTAGCTCTGTATCTCCAAAACGAGTAGACCTGCCTTTGCCAAAAACTAATCACCTCTTCTCCTTATCATTACAAATTGAATGTTCTTTGAATCATTCAAATCAAATGCTCCGTTCTCTCAAAAACTCGATTTGTATTTGGTGCACTCTTTGCTCCGTATCTCCGTAACGGCTGGACCTGCCTTTGCCAAAAACTACCAGCACATCTCCCTATCAATAGGAATCGAATGTTATTTTAACAATTCAAATCGGTTTATCCGTGCGACCAAAAACGTGGACGAAAAATTGTGTCCATTCATACACACACACACATATCCATTTTGCCAAAAAAGATATGCCAAAATGTTCAGAAACCTCTGAAACGTAAAAATTTGTAAAAATTTTCAATTTCAACAAGATAATAAGATAGAAGTTATGAAAAAAGGACTTTACCGACCAGCAAATTAAATAAAAGTGAAAACAAAAACTTTAGGCAAACTAAATATATGTTTAAAATTGTAAAAAATGGACTCAACTGACAAGCAAACTAAATATATGTATAAAATTATAAAAAAGGGACTCTACTGACAGCAAACTAAATATCTGCCTAAAATTGTAAAAAAAGACTCTACTGACTAGCAAATTGAATATCTGTCTACAAATGTAAAAATAGGACTCTAATGATGAACAAATTGAATATCTCTCTAAAAAGGCAAAAAAGGATTCTACTGACAAGCAAATTAAATATATATATATATATATATATATATATATATATATTAGGGTGGTCCTTAAAATGGTTATTTTCGAATTTTCTTGCTCCCAGGGGCTTAAATGGTTCCAAATAGATAAAAAACAATTCTCTGAAAGTTTTAGCTCTTAATATTATCGTTTAGATAGAGCGCAATTCTATCAAAGTTTGTATGGAAAGAGCATGGAAAAAATTTTGAAAATTAAAAAAAAATGTTTTAGGTATAAGTTAGCGACAAATGAATGAGTTTTATTTATTCATTTGTTCGCTAAATTACATCTAAAAAACATTTTTAAAATTTTTGAAAATTTTTCCATGCTCTTTCCATACAAAACTTTGATTGAATTGCGCTCTATCTAAACGATAATATTAAGAGCTAAAACTTTCAGAGAATTGTTTTTTATCTATTTGGAACCATTTGAGTCCCTGGGAGCAAGGAAATTCGAAAATGGCCATTTTAAGGACCACCCTAATATATATATATATATATATATATATATATATATATAACTTTTTGTTCCTTCCGATTTACAGAAATCGATCATCTTTTCCAATTGAGGTCTACCAAGATGGATGAAACCAAGTCAATGGTTCCTCACAAGATTTACCCAAATATAAGAATAGAAGACATAAATTATAAACATGGATTATTCAAAAGTCCAATTCCTGGACATAGTATTTTGGCAGCAAATTCATCGGAATATTCTTGCGAATTTGGAAGCCTCAAGTATTATTTGCTTTGCGCCTTAGGAGGAGTAGTATCTTGTGGTAAGATAAAGAATATATATATATATATATATATATATATATATATATATATTGATAATAAATTATTTATTACTTTTAGGTTCAACCCATACCTTTGTGACGCCACTGGATTTGATAAAATGCAGAATGCAAGTCGATGCGAAAAGATACAAAAATATACAAGACGGATTTAAAGTAAGAAGAATTACATCATCAGAAATTTATTTTTAATTATTTATTTAAAAAAAAATTATTTTGTTTATAGGTAACTTATAAAGAAGGCGGAATGGTTGGTCTGTACAAAGGTTGGGGCCCTACACTTATTGGATATTCCTTACAGGTAATAAAATACAAATACCAGTCTGGTAAAAGTTGATAGTCAGAACGAAGCCCTTAAAATATTATAGGATATGAGAAGTTTTGGACACAAGTGATATTTAATCATTTAAAAATATAGATCAGATGTTAATAATAAATAGCCGATTCCAGCATTGATACAATAAGTTAAAACGTAAGCACAATTAGAAAACTGACAACCATTGGGTTGCTTTATAATAAACCGTTGTCCCGTGATTGCCTGATAATAAAATCAAAATAAATATATGACAACAACTGTGTTGGTTTCTAATTTAAAAGACACATTCAAATAAATGGGACAATTTATTGGGTTGCCTTCTAATATAGAATAGATCAAAACAAGCAGGACAGAGGTTGTCCAGTGGTCTTCTAATTATAAAAAAAACATTAAAAATATATAGGACAACAACTGAGAAGGTTGCTAATAAAAAACTATATCCAAATGAACAGGACAATTTCTTAGGTTGCCTTCTAATATAAAATAGATAGGACAGCGGTTGTCCAGTGGTCTTCTATTAATAAAAAAAACATTAAAATATATAGTGCAACAACTGAGGTTGCTAATAAAAAAACTACATCAAATGAAAAGGACAAGCCATTGGATTGCCTTCTAGCATAAAATGGATCAAAATAGGTAGGACAGCGGTTGCCTAGTAGTCGTCTTTTAATATAAAAAATATTAAAATATATAGGACAACAACTGAGATGGTCGCTAATAAAAATCCAAATCCAAATGGACAGAACAATTTATTGGGTTGCCTTCTAACATAAAATAGATAGGACTGCGGTTGTCCAGTGGTCTTCTAATAATAAAAAGCATCAAAATTTATAAGGCAATAACTGAGAAGGTAGTTAATTAAAAAACAACATCAAATGAACAGGACAAACCATTGAGTTGCTTTCTAGCATAAAGTGAATCAAAATAGGTAGGACAGCGGTAGTCCAGTGGTCATCTAATAATAAATCGTCTGATGGAAAATTAAACAAAATATAGAAGACAACCACTAGGATGCCTTCTACTAAAAATTACATTAAAATAGATCGACAGCCTCAGTGTGCGTAATTCTTTCAAAAATAATTGAATTTATTCCAAATATTTTTTTCCCCAGGGTGCTGGCAAATTCGGTTTGTACGAAGTCTTCAAAGTAAAATATCGGGAGCTCATGGGAGACGACTTTTACCACAGATTCACCAGTTTAATTTATTTGGCTGCATCAGCAAGCGCCGAATTTTTTGCTGATATCTTACTATGTCCATTGGAATCCGTAAAGGTAAAAAAATGATAAAATATATAGCCTATCTATATTTTAAATCTATGCAAAACAAGTAACGTAACGAACCAAAACCATAGACCTTATATTACATGGACTGCTAGTCGAGCGCAAAATAAGTGCTCAAACATATAAGGGACATGTTACACATCACATGTCTGAGCGAACATTGCCGACGACAATCGCGGACTTTTCCGCGGATGTCATATGCTTTATTTTAATAATATAATGGAAATTGTGTGTACTGATCATTTTGTTCGGCAATGTTCGCTCAGACATGTGACGTCACATACTCATCTAAATTTGAGCACTTACAATGGAAAACATATGAGAATTAGGAGTCCATGTAGTGTAATGTCTATGACCAAAAGTATAATTATAAGTGCCTTTGTCGCATGGCATTTCTACGTAACAGAAACGTTTTATTAACGTAACCACTAAGTAACAATGTTAATAAACGTTTCGTAGATTTAACTTCTGTGTTTACTAGTGTTTCTGTGTTTACTATGTGTCTCCAAATAATTAAATCGATGATTTATGTCTTTTATTTAGGTTCGTGTCCAGACAATAGACGGTTACGCAAACGGCGTAATGGACGGAATCCCCAAAATGATCAATGAAGAGGGCTTCGGCACATTGTACAAGAGTATCGTGCCCCTATGGTTCCGACAAATCCCTTACACGATGATGAAGTTTGCCAGTTTTGAAAAAACCGTCGTACTACTCTACAAGTATAATGGAACCATAATGATATATTTTTACATTTTATATTTATTTTATTATTTCTTTTCTAGGTATGTCGTCCCCAAACCGAGGGAGCAGTGCACAAAAGGGCAGCAGCTGATTGTGACTTTTGCAGCAGGCTATATCGCAGGAGTGTTCTGCGCCGTTGTTTCGCATCCAGCTGATACTCTGGTGTCGCAAATGAGCAAACAGAAGGTGAAACTAATAATCTATATATATTAGGGTGGTCCTTAATATGGACATTTTCGAATTTTATTGCTCCCAGAAACTTATATGCTTCCAAATTGATAAAAAAAGTCTCTTGAAGTTGTAGCTCTTAATATTAACTTTTAGAATCTAAAATTTAGATAGTGCGCAAGTCAATCAAAGCTTCGTATGGAAATAGCATGAAAAAAATCGAAAATTTTAAAAATGTTTTTTTATGTATAACTTAGCGACAAATGAATCAAAAGTGACAATTCGTGTTTTATTGAAAATTCGACGCTCTGCTAAACAAGTTTTTTATAATATGTTTCGTAAAAATCGTAAAAACATTTTTAAAATTTTTGGAAATTTCCCCATGCCATTTCTATACAAAACTTTGAATTGCGTACTATCTAAAAGACAATATCAAAGGCTAAAACTTATAGAGAATTTTTTTTATCAATTTAGAAGCATTTGAGCTTTTAAATTTAAAGTTTCTTTAACTAGGATACATGTAGCAAATTAACGTTTTTTAAATTTAAGTATGTTAGGACTTAGTCCGAAACGGCGGCTTGACCAATTTTGATGGGATTTTTATTGGCAAGTGGCTGAGGCAATTTGGCGCAACTTAGGCTTATTTTAGAAAAAAGTATTCATTTTTTAGGTTATTTAGTCTTTTTAAACTTCCCGTAGTGTCCGAAAATCGAAAATAAATTTTTTTCCATATCTTTACGTTTCAGAGATTTCTGAACATTTTGGCATACCTTAGAAAAAATGTATGTGTGTGAGTTTTGTATGTCCACAATTTTTGTCCACGTTTCGGGTGCACGGAATATAAGACAGGATTTATTCAAAAATCATTCGATTCCTACTGATGGGGAGACGTGTTGATTAGTTTACGGCAAAGGCAGGTCCGGCCGTTTTGGAGATACGAAGCAAAGAGTTCAAAAAATGGAAATCGATTTTTGAGGAAACGGAACATCCGATTTGAATAATTCAAAAAACGTATAATTCGTAATGATGGACAGAACTTGTGACTAATTTTTGGCAAAGACAAGTCTAGCCGTTTCGGACATACTGAGCTAAATAAATTTTGCTTTTTTTTAACGTTGGAAAAATAGATTTCTAGAAAAATTTGATATTTTTAGAAAAGTTCAATTTGTTTCAAAATTTGAAAAAAAAAGATTTAAAAAAAAATCAATTCAAAAAAGTGTATTATTTTCGATAATTTATATCGTTGCAAAAATCGAATTTTCTGAAAATGTTGATATTTTTTGTGAATTTTTAAACCCATTGAATCAGCATTTAATCAGCTTTTTCTGTTTTATCGCTTTTAAGAGAATAGATCTTATTGATTATTAACTTTCCTTCAGGCAAAATGTTACTTACACCTAGTTTTCTTAAGATGTTGTTGAGATTAAACCAGGTAAGCGTAAAACTTTAAAAAGTATGTGTAATCATCATCAAATAATATTAGGTATAATGTATTTCATAAATACTAAAATGAATTTACAAATATACCATTTAAAATCTTGCTGATTAGTTTTCGACAAATATCAGTCGGAATATTTCTTTGTAAATAAATGTTGAAGAAGGACTCGAAACGTCAAGCATAAAGTTTTTAGAAAATCATATTAGGTTAAGTTGAAAAAATTTGCAAACGATTCAGAATGACTTGAAACATCTGGAATTAAATTAGCATAAAATAAACTTCACCTTCGTCAAGATAATAAATATAAAGTTTGAAAAAATCATATAATGCTAAAAAATAAAAGTTGAAAAACTTGGCAAACGATTCAGAATGACTTGCAATGTCAAGAAAATATTATATTAGCATAAAATGAACTTCACCTTCCGAAAGATAATAAATATAAAGTTTGCAATTGAATCATATTATGTTAAAAATAAATGTTGAAAAAACTTGGCAAACGATTCAGAATGACTTGAAATGTCAAGAAAATATTATATTAGCATAAAATGAACTTCACCTTCGGCAAGATAATAAATATACAGTTTGTAAAAAATCATATAATGTTAATAATAAATGTTGAAAAAACTTGGGAAACGATTCAGAATGATTTGAAACGTCTCGAAAATATTGAATTAGCTGCTAAATCAATATTTTCGAGACGATTAGCATAAAGTAAATTCGACATTCGGAAGGATAACAATAATTAAGATTTTTATTCAAATGTGATGTTTAAAATTAACATGGGGAAAAAATAGAGAAACGATTCAGAATGACTTGTAACGTCGGGAAAAAAACATATTTCACGTTTAGGAAGTCAATTAATTATTCGCTTTACATAAGAGAAATTCCCTACTATGACGCATAGTTTCCGTGGTGTAGTGGTTATCACATCCGCCTAACACGCGGAAGGCCCCCGGTTCGATCCCGGGCGGAAACATCATATTTTTTATTTTTTTTTCGATTTAGATTATTATTTTAATATAATTGTAATATATATACGTAATAATATTTATATATTTATAATATAAACGCTTATTTGTAATAAATTCAATTAATAGAAATAATTTTATAGTTTGTGCTCTGCCTTGTGCCATCCTACCCTTATAGTTTTCTGCATTTTCTTATCACATATATCATGAAATATTTTTATTATTTTTCATCTTCACCCTATCTGTTTTTCAATTCTTAACTTTGAGGAACTTAATAATGATTACTATTTCGTGCAGAAGGCTTTTCCCAAAATGGTCCAATCTAGTTTACTTTTTAGAATAGAGATTTTGTAATACTTATTTCTTTGTCCATATATAAATACCCTGAGGAGTTTGTTTTCATAAAAAAATCCGGCTCGCTAATTTGATGTTTTCTCGAAGTTTCAAGTCGAATGAGACCGAATTTAAGGGTGTGTGTGTATTTGTATGTGAGCCAATTTATGACTTTAGCAATTTTTTTCAGAAACGGCTGTACTAATTTCTTCATTTATAATTTATTATTTTCAGGGAGTGAGTGCCAAAGAGATTGCTCAAAAATTAGGCTTCTACGGTTTGTGGAAAGGACTCGGCCTGAGGATCGCCATGATAGGTACCTTGACGGCCTTACAATGGTTCATATATGACGGATTCAAGGTAAACAGAAATATACTATTATATAATAAAGTAGTCTTAATTGATTTAATTTTATAACAATATTCTCGGATAACATTGCTCTCTTATCTTACTAACAGAGCAATAGAAGGCAATCTGTTTGGTTATATACTGTATCTGTTTAGTGTTACGTTATTACAAGTCCTCGGTAGTATAGTGGTCAGTATCCCCGCCTGTCACGCGGGAGACCGGGGTTCGATTCCCCGCCGGGGAGTATATTTTTTTTCTAAAATTACAGAATAATAGTAATATTTATTTATTACATAGACTATTATTATTATTTGTTATTTTAATTAATCGTTATAAGTTTTTTTTACTCATTACTATCCTTATTTCACGTATATTAAAAATATATATATGATTATTAGTTAATTTGAATTTATTTTATTCCTTTCAGGTTTATATGCGCATGCCAAGACCTCCACCTGCTTAAATAATTATATTAATATATTTATTTATCATATTAATAATATTAATATCGATTGTTCTTAAGTTTATTTTTTAAAAGTCGATTCTCAATTTGTAAAGTGCTTAATATTGTTATAAGATATTTCATACACTTTAATAGTATAATAATATATATTTCACATTAGATTTTTTTATTTTATTTCATTTATTTTTGTTTTATAGCATTTTTTTTATAAAGTCCGGTGCACACGACGCCAGTATTTCTTGTAACAGGATTTCTGTCAAGTTTTCTTGTAAGGTGAGCAAGAATTTTGCGTCATATTTTCACTTATTTTATGATTAATAATAATTTTGTGCATTTTCAAATAGATTATTATAAATATAGCCCTGAAATGCACTAATGCTTATAAGTGTACAAACAGAGCATTGTATGAAATGAAAACAATAAACATATATGCATCGTATCCGATTAGGACTCATAGTAATCTATTTGAAAATGTACGAAAGTATTATTAATCATAATTTATACTTACTTACTTGCTCAAATTTATAATATTTACATTAAAACAGCAATTTAACAATAAAGCACGGTGCATACGACGCCAGAATTTCTTGTAACAGGATTTCTGTCAAGTGAATCATAAAATAAGTGAAAATCTGGCACAAAATTCTTGCTCACATTACCAGAAAACTTGACAGAAAATCCTGTTGCAAGAAATTCTGGCGTCGTGTGCACCGGGCGTTTTTATTGTTTTTTATTGTTAAATTGCTGTTTTAATGTAAATATTATAAATTTGATCAAGTAAGTATTAAAATATTTTGAAGACATGGAAAATTGTTAAACTATCTTTTATCATTTAGTATTGACAGTGGCGTCGGAATCTCTAAAAAAAACGAGCCCACTGGCTGCCTATCCAAAAAAAAAAAAAAAACGAGCCCACCCATTAAAAATTTAGTTCCGACGCCACTGAGTATTGATGTTCTGAATTATATAAATAAATAATATATTCAAATACATTAAATTCGTGGTATTCAATGTTACCAGGGCGTCGTACAGCTATTTCCAAAATATTCTTTTAGAAAATGAATGAGAAAATAATTATTTTTAATATATTTTTAAAGAATATGGATATGAAATATTAAATTATATCATTCAAATAGTAATGAAAATAGATTGTTAGATAAATTAAAAAAAGGAAATTTTAAAAAACGGGTGGAGCTTCCTATAAAAAAAGAAAAAAAGGTTGGATACCAGTGCATCAAAAAAGAATATTTATACGGTCATATGGGTGAAATTTAATTATGTTATATACGACAATTTTTTACATATATATTATATATATGCAGATTTATAACAATTAAAATAAATAATTTGAGTTCCACTTACCCTAAAACCACTGATTCTGCTCCCAATTATAATTATAATCAATAATAATAGAGAAACATTTTATGATTTGAAGGACAGTTGCATTAGTTTGAGGTTAGATCTTTTCCAAATATATTTAAACACTTTAAAAACAATTTTAACACTTGAGAACGATACCACTTCAAAATTATTAACATTTATACACGTAAATAGTTATTTACATAATTATAATAAATAATAATAACCTAAAAGAAACATTTTGTGATCTGAATGACAGTTGCTTTAGTTTGAGGTTATATTTTTGAAATAACTATTAAAATACTTTGAAAACAGATTTTAACACTAAATAACGATGCTACATACGTAAAAGTAATATTTACACTCTCACAGATTATTATATTGATAATCACACAACTAAAATGAATAAAAATGACTTAATATTATTTATTTGACATTTTTGAGTTTTGAAAGAAAGTTGCTTCACGCCATTGCAGAAATTTGCATTGTCACCAACTGCAGAAACTAAAAATTTGATGATAACAAAATTTTATAAATAATAAACAATTTTATCAAAGCCACAATACAATTAATTAATTTAATCCATTAAAGCTAATAATTAAGTCTTAGCACAAAATTGTTTTTATTTCACAAAGTTTGTTTACGTTTCAAATGACAGTTGCGTAACGCCATTTTGAACAATCAAAACTTTGACGTTTGTGCACGATTGTTAAAAATGTCCTTTTAACATTTATTATTTATCCCAATGAATAAAGCAGAATCCGGCCTCCAATTACTAAGTCGTTTAGACGACCGTCCTCTTCTAAACGACTTCGACACAGTTCTATTCCCAAACGGGGGCCCATTTCCCAAAGAAATAATAGAAATAACCGGGGACTCCAACACCGGTAAAACATTATTACTTACAGAAATCATAGCTAAAGCCATTTTACCTGTTCGACACGGCGGACGAAACGTTGGAGTCATTTTAATAGACACCGACTGCCACTTTCAAATCATCAAACTAGTGACAGCTTTGGAAAAATTTGCCACAACACAAGATGAAGATATAAACGATATAATAAAGGAGTCTTTGGTGAATTTTAATATTCTACAATGTCATGATAGTATGCAGTTGAACGTGACTATCAAAAGACTCGATGATATTTTGATACAGAACACAGATGTTTGTATTTTAGCAATGGATAGCATAGCATCGTTCTACTGGTCTGAACAAAATCAAATTAAAATGGATACTTACTACCGAACGATTTTGAGGAGTATTCAAGGTGCTACTTGGGAATATAAAGTTGTCTTTTTCTATACAAGGCCTGGTTATTTTTTTACTAAAAACACTGGAGATAATTTTACTGAAGTACCTAGAAGTGGATGTATTAATTATCGTGTTAAATTGGAATTAGCAGAAGATGAGAAGATGGATTGTGATGGGGATGTTAAAATGGATGCTGATGCTGTCGATGTGAAATATTTTCAAGCTTGTATTGAAACTGCAAAAGATAAATTTGTTAATAGATATGTGATAAATGAACAAGGGTTTGAATGGAATAAATAAATATAAATGTAGGCAATTAAATTGTTTTGTAAATATATAAAAAGTTTTATAAATTATCTAGCAAGCTTTTTTTTGTATCTTAAATACAAAGCAAGTTATGTGCTACATTTAAATAAATATAATCATAAGACTTATTAAATGCTAAGTCTGTTGAAAATAAATTATATAAAATCACTTATATATAAGTATTCCATTTTGTCTTTGATTGCTATCCGAAAAAGATTGAACAAAAAGTATGTATTATTAATTTGTAATTTATTCGTCGATTTACAATTAAACGTTTTAAACCTATAGTTAATTAAATTGTACTTATTGCAATTATTTAAATGATACTACAATCACTAATTTAATGACTCAGTGAGAGAAATGATAAATAGTTAAAATTTATGTAAAGTTTAAAGAAAATAATAAAAATTCATTTTAGTATTATATCAATTAATTGATTTAAAAATCAATCTAGCATTTTTTGTTGTTCTAATTGTACAAAAAGCTAATTTAACTACTAATTTGAAGAGATCGAATCTAAAAACATATCAGTTGCTAAGCAAAACCTACAGAATTACAATAAATTTAAATTAAGTTTTAAATCCAGGCGCTCCATATTTCTATTAATTATTGTTAAATTTATATTTACCACTATTGACTTCGAAAAAGATGTTTCCTTATAGCTAAATTGAATGTAATGTTTTTGTTAATATTTTTCTTATTTTTTTGTACTTTTCTTATTTTACATCGTGATGATTTTTGCTACTGATGCCATAACTGCTAATGTCATAACCGAGGACCACACTTGTGTACCTGGAGCTCCGGCTGAAAAAATAAATAAATGTAATGATGAAATATTAATCAATATAAAAATCTTCTGTAATGATGTATAAAAGAAAAATCTTCCTAAACGATTATTCGTATTTTGATAAATCTTTTTGAAGTTTGTTAAGGAAATTTTCTAGGATTTTTTGATTTATAGAAATATAGCTAGATTGTAGAAATAAATGGAAAAACTTACAAAAGACCGCTTATCATTGTTTGACACTGACAATATTTGAGGAAAAAAATAGAAATTTACAAACATTTTTATGTGCCTTGCTTTGAAGTGGGTAAACTATTCAAATGTGTTTTGTTAGCTGTTCCTTTCACCTATGCACAACATTTGTAATCAGTTATAGTTATTTTTGTACTAAACATTTTATACTAGAAGTATTTTTTATGGCAAAACAACGTTTGCCGGGCCAGCTAGTATATATATATATATATATACATATATATATATATATATATATATATATATATATATTACTCACATCCGCATTTTCCGTCCTCAGTGACTTGAAATTCAGGTTTGCAAAGACACTTGTTCTGGAAACACCTGATCCTGTCTCTGTATTCTTCTCCGATGAAACATTCGATATCATCAACGCAATTCTGGTTATAGCCTATAAAATACATACAATTATTTTAATTTCATTATAAATATATTAATAAATTAGCAAACCCGACGAACTCCGTTTCGCCACCAGATGGTTTTGTGAAAAAGATGAAGAAATTTTTGTTTGTTTCATATTCGAAAAGGAAAATGTGATTTTATTATACAACAGTAATGAATTTATTTCGATTACAAAAATGAAGTGTTTTTAGTTGAACTTCTCTAAGTAAATGAAAGTGAATCCGCAAATTATCCGTTTCATTGAAGTGCTCTTTGGTAAACCACATTTTTTGTTTTTTGGTCTGACGTTAACACAAACAAAGCGGATGGTTTTCCAACTCGTGAACAGGCAACGTATAACTGCCCATTTGAAAAACAATAATTTTCTAAATAATCTATTTGAAATTTATACTGCAAACACTAAGCGATTGACCTTGCGACTTGTCTTTGCGATCGCAAGGCGAACTGGAAACTGCTTTCGTTTGAAGTCAAACAAAAGACCAGTCGGAATCATTGGTATGTTACCAAATCGCCAGCAATTTTTGATTGAATGGTGAAATTCAGTGCGTGTACATCATTATTCTTTGCGGCAAGAATTGCTCGTTGACTTAACCAAGCATAATCCTGATAATTCTCACTAATGCCATTACTCGAATTTTTAATTACGGTGCGTGAAGTTCCAGCAATTTGCATTAGGGCACGATGCCATGCACCACTAATTTTCTTAGCTATAAACCTTGCGGAGCCCGAGACCTTTCCACGAAGGAAAACCCGACTTATTTTTATATATATAGAATATTAGTATTATTACCTTTAGATTGGATGCAAGTTCTGTTCCTCGATTCGTGGTGATCTTCCCTGCACACACAGACTTCTCGGACACAATGAGCATTGAAGTTGAATTTTGTGTGACATTGTTCGCCTACGTTGCAGTGTTCACCCAATTGTTTACCTGCAAAATAAATAAATGAATAAAAACAATTAAAAGGCAGAAGATTTGTTTCAGTTAAAAGGATATAGTCTTACGTTCTAGACATATTGGGTCTTCTGGATGAGGCACAAAGTTGAATTTGCAAACACAAATGCCACTATCGCATCTTGAATTGGGAAGACTGGCACATTCTTGATCTGACATACATATAGCACCAACAGCTAAAAGAAATAAATACTAATTAAAAAAAAGAGTGCGCGTAAGGTTAACGCGATTGAAGTAAAACTTTTTTGCTATTGTACAAGATGGCATTTAAGTAAAAATACATACATCATATAACATTTTTGAATAATGTTTATAAGTAATATGGGTAACACTTGCGATGCACTCATTTATTAGTGTCAACCATTATACACATTTATATAATGATAAATTATAAATTATATATTCATGATTGCATTAAAAATATGTATATTATTTAGAAAATAATGTAATTAAAGTCATACTTCAAATACGACATGATCGGTTTGTCATTGTAATTAGCATTTAGGACTCGAGCCTTCATTAGAGAAATGAAGTAATTGTTGGTTTAATAATTAATTCTATATATTCGTTCACACAGTGGATTATGTTAAACAACGCCTAAACAAATATTGTTTTCGCAACTTCACTCATCATGTAATAATTGTGTTTGAAGAACTTTATGTGATTAAAATTAACATACATTCATTGACTTCTTGTTTTTTTCACTATTTTGCTGGCGATATAATCTCATTATTTGAACATCTGCAATATTTTGTCTAGTCTAAAAAATATTTTCCATTTTAATAACTTCAACGATTTATAGAAACTTCGAATAAAATGGAAATAATTTCTAATCAATAAACTTACGTTTAGTACACGGCCCAAATTTTTAGTTTGTTTTATTATTAACGGGGGACAAGGTAAAATATTCTTCTGATTCAGGCATTTTTTATTAGATCAAGATTTGTACTACGATGTAACTTAAAAATGTTTATTTATCTATGCCGATTTCCTTGTTGATGTCGGTACGCATACAACGACATTTCTCTATTCACACGACACGACGACTAATCACAATCGACCCGTATAGAAATGATCTCATCAAGAGCGAATAACGTACAGTTCGGGCGTAACGCTTTTTTCCGTTGCATTTGTACGGATTTACACCCTAGTCGCGCATAAAGAAATATTATAAAAATATTTTTCTACTCACCAGCTATACAATCGTTTCTCTCCTTGGTAAGCCTGAAGCCCTTTTTATATTTACAGACACATTTACCCTGAACTGGTCACAGAAACATTCTTCATACGACAGTCCTGGTCATAATTGCAACGGTCGTCCAGGCTCGACTGAATCCTAAAATAATAATATCATATATATATATATATATATATATATATATATATAATGCAATCTTCTACATTTTTATTAAATCACCATTAACTCATCACCAATTCTCTATATTCAAAATACTGTCCGCACACTTTCATTACACATACCACCAACTTCACACTCAACTTATTAGCCAACTTTACACTCAACTTATAAACTACCGTTACCTTACATTTAAAAATTGAATTAACTATACTCTGAAATGGTTTGAACGATTTTTATAAAATTTTTGAAAATCACGTTAGATCATGCCTGATCGGCCAGAATTTATTTTTCATACCCATGTTTTTTCATGTATTAAGGGTTGACCGATTGAGTTTCATATTTCATAATTAAAGATATAAAGCCCTAAATTTCGAAATAGTGATCGTAGATTACGATCGTAATAGCCATTTTAGTAATCACTGCTGAAACTTCCCGTACATAATTTTTTCGAATTTCTTTTCAAAGCAATTGCGCTGCGTACTGCTTTAGACGCTTTTTTAAAAACCGTCAAATGGCGTTTAAAAAATTTTTTTTTTTTGTTGGGATCTCCGAACCCGCTTTCCCCAAAAATTCAATAAGTTCTTCATGCCAATACAAATAAAACGTTTTTTCAATAAACATACAAATTAAATGTTGTTCATTCAAATCGGATGATCCGTTCTCTCGAAAACTCGATTTCTATTTTCTGCACCCTTTGTTCCGTATCTCCGTAACGGCGGGACTTGCCTTGCCAAAAACTAATCAGCACATCTCCCTATCAATAGAATCGAGTGTTTTTTGAACTATTTGAACCGTGTTTTCAAAATCGTTGTCAAAAATTTGTATCCGCACATACATACATACATCAATTTTCTGAGGTATGCCGAAATGTTCAGAAACCTCTGAAACGTAAAGATACATAAAAAAATCATTTTCGATTTTTTGGCAATTATTATAACTTACCCTACGGGAAGTTAATGGATGTTTGGATTTCACTTCGTAAAATTAATGAATTATTGAAAAGCGCTGTAATAATAGATCAAACCATAAATATCCAAAATGTGTCAGTCAATTCAATTGAAATGAAATCAGTTTGAGATTAGATTGGCACTTGCAATGATATTAATACGCCAATGAACATTTTTTGTATGTGGCATGCGTTGCAATGGGTAAACCATACATATATTTGTGTTAGCTGCCTTTTCACTTATATACCTTACACTTCTATATTCACAATCAATGTTCTAGAAATATTTCAGAACAACGTTTGCCGGACCAGCTAGTATTATATATATATATATATATATATTTACAAAAAGCCAAGCCCTTTCCCAAACCTTCGCATTCCTTGTACTTAAATTGAAAGTAAAAACAAGGTATACCATTGTATTGTTTTTATTGTAGTACATCTAATGAAATGTATTTCCAAATAAGGTAAAAATTATTCTATTTTCGACGGTCTAATAACATCTACAAAATATCTAATATTTTATTTAAAAAAAAAACATTGCATTTTTAATTAACTAAAATGAATTTTTTTTGCATTTCTCGACGTTTTGAAGGTTTCTGAACATTTTTAAAGAGCATACCTCAGAAACTGAATGAATGTGTGTGTGTGTGTGTTTTGTATGTTCGCATTTTTTTTTTTTTTCAGGATAAAATATTTGATTATATGATACGATAAAATATTTATATTTAATTAATTTTAATTTCAGTGTTGAAACGATTCAAAATGACTTGAAAAGCTGAAAAAATATAAAATGACCGAATTGAAAAAAAAAAGATATTTAAAATGATACTGTGATAATAATCTATATTAGTCATATAATAGTAAATTATTCTTTTGATAGCACAAGAGAAAGAGATAATTGAAATAAATATATAACAACTTCTTAGAAAAATTGTGATGTAATTGTTATGCAAAAATAATATATTTTACTCTTATTTATTATTCGACGAACGACTTTTTCTTTTTCCTCAAAACTGAAATCATTTCCAGATCATCGAAATCAATATCTAGTATTATAATCCTTACAAAATCTCGGATACTTCAAAATCGTAATTCAGAATATTATAAAATTTTGACGAGATATCTTAAATAATCATGAGATTAATTAAAATGAGTAATTTAATAAGTCGTTTAAAATTAAATTGTCTATAA